TATCTTTCCCACATCTTTTACTATTCCCAACAAATTCATTTTATTAGTAAGCAAATGGAGATAAATGGTCAGTCACTCTGAATACGACTGTAATGGTGGCCAATATATATAACAACAATTTTAGTATTTTACCCAAAAATTTTATTTTTTCATTTACCAATAAAATCTCATTGACCTTTATCCTTGCTGTCTCTTCTTACAGCCATCCCACCATCCCAGGTAGCTTATCTTATATCCACGCGGCCACCATCTCCGTAAGTCAAAGTAACCATTGCAAAACCCAGGTGGCAGCTTGCCGAATTGACCTGTACCTTTAGTCTTCCGAAATAATTAAGAAAATCAAATCCGTCGATTTCGAAAAGGACATAAAAAAGAAACAGACGATACCAAACGTAACATCAAGCTAACCTAAACAAAACCAATACTGTACTTTACTTTTCCATCTCTTTTTAATTGGAACAAAATCTTGGTAAGAAAGTAAAATCGCGCGAAATTTTTAAACATATTCTTCCTTTTGTTTGTTTGGCTTCTGGTGAGAAGAAGAAGGATTTTTGGTTTCGTGCGTTTTACTTTCCCTGCCAAAGTAGGAGGAATGTTCTTGCTTTAATTGAGTTCCGAAGCGATCCATACACTCCCTACTTCAACTTCGGAACTGCAGCTGCCAACAAAAAGTGGAAGGGCTCTCTTTGGCATTTTAGATAGCCCAAAATTGTTCCTTTTTCACTTGAAGAATCACAAACAGGTAAGAGTTATATTCTACTTGAACGTTTCCTCTGTTTCCATTTTATGATTTGTGTTGATTGTGATTGAATTTATTCATCTTAAACGAGGGGACTTAAAAAGAATTGTTCCTTCTTTTATGGTGTAACTGAGTTACTCTTATGTTTGGAAAACAGTAGTTTTAATTAGCGAAAAGTACGGCTTTTTTATGCTTATATGGAAAACCAGTGATTTTGCTGTGAGTTTTCTGTTTGAAGCAGTGAATTTTATGTTTATAGAAGGAATATATTGCAGCCTGGAGAGTTTAATTGTCTAATTTGGTAGATTTCCTGATTTGGAATTATCTTTGTTTATACGGGAGATTTTATATAGATATCGACCATTTCCATATTTTTTGTTGGTCTTAACAGAGTGGTCTGTTTGAATATAAAACATATTCTGAAAGAAAGAAGATTACACTGTTCACTTTTAACATTCTTCTTTTTCTTGAAATATACTTGCGTTTGCTACCTGTGTATTTGTCTTAGTAAAGCAGTGTCGTCTTCCCTAATGTAGATATAACAACACGCACCTTTATTTGCTGTAAATTGTCAGATGTTCATATATGACCAAAGCTTCCAATAACATATAAAAACTGATTTTGGTTTGAAATCTGCTTGTGAATCTGTCGTGTATAAAGCAATTGATATTCCAAATAACTATAGTAGTGTTAAGTTTTAGATTTTTTTTTCTTCCCCCACAGCAACGCCATTGATTAATAAACCGTCACAAGTTGATAAAGTTGGCCTCAATAAACATCACCGGCTATGAAGGTTTTTAAGGGATTGCTCAAAGAAACCGAGCATCATGAAACTCTTCTTAACCTTTGAACAATGCTTCAATTGTTACTATTTCGATCCTTTGTATATGTTCTATATACAAAGAAAAGAAAGAAAGGAACCTCATAACATCTCCCATTATAAAGTAAAATTACTTAAAAGCTAAAACCAAAAGCGAAAAGGGAATAATTCTGTATGGGTTTAAAATTAAGAGGAAAACAGTCTGTCGAATTTAATAACTTCCTTGCCCTCCAATATGCACATGATCCAAGTGCATCACACAGGCACTTGCCTCTGTCTTTCAGAATCATCAATTAAATTGCACTAATAGCATCAAAATCATCAGTTGGCATAATTGTGGCATAGGCACCCTCTTGTTATAATGTTCGAAAAACTTACTAATGCTGTTTCTGCTCGTTGAATAGGAACTTCAGGATTGTTAGTTATGGTAGTTGAACCATTAAATTGTAGCATATGTTAAGAATCAAACTTAACATCAATTGACAATAAGTGAAGTTGTCTAATTTAAATATAAGACTACAAGATATTAAAAATTTATTAGATATGACATAACTTACTTTAACAGGCCCCTATCACGTGTAGACGAAGATAGAAGAGTTTTTCACGTGATAAATTATAAAAAGACAACAAAAGAAAATTTTGGTTTTGATACCATATTAAACATTCAACTTAAAATCAATTAGCTGTAAGTGAAAAGAGCCCACTTGAATATAAAACTATAAGAAATTGGATATTTATTAGATATGAGATAATCCACTTTAAAGAAAATCTTGAGTACAGATATGTGATAACTCATTTTAACAGGCCCCAAAATATTTCATGTGACAAATTTAAAAAGGGCAATAGAAAGAAAATCTTGTCTCTGATACTATGTTAAACATCCAACTTAAAATTAATTGGTTATAAGTGAAGGAGCTCAACCTAAATATAAGACTACAAGATATTAAAAATTTGTTAGATGTGAGATAATTCACTTTGACTATAAGTGGAGGGACCCAACCTAAATATAAGACTATAGGATATTAAAAATTTATTATATGTGGGATAATCTACTTTAACATGCCCCTATCACGTATAGACAATGATGGAAGAAAACTTTATAAGACAAATTAGGAAAGGGCAATGAAAATGAATCTTGGCTTTGATGTTATATTAAGCATCTAATTTAAAATTAATTGACAGTAAGTGAAATGTCTTAATCTAAATATAAAACTACATAATATTAAAATTTTATTAGATGTAAAATAATCTACTTTAATATATTTCTGTCACATGTAAACGAAAATGAAAAAAATCTTTCACGTAACAAATTAAAAAAAAATAACAAAAAAAATCTTGATTCTAGTACTAAATTAAACATCTAACTTATAATCTGTAAGTGTAAATATGATATAACCCATTTTAATAATATATTTCTACTTCTTATTCAATTGATATTGTCAAAACAAATGCATTCTCGTTAATCTTACCGTTTTCAACCAACCAATACTCATCCAGTTACATGATGGTTCATTCAAGAAGATTAACTCATCCAAGTAAAACAACAACCCCTTTCTTTTCTTTTCTTTTCGTTTTTAGAAAGACTTTATTTTTCATAAGAGTCCACGAGGTATTAAAAAAAATGACCGAGAAAAAGGAGGGAACGGAAATGACGAACAGCTAGCAAAAGTCCTCGAGGTATTAATAAAAAAAGACCCAGAAAAAGGTGGAAAAGGAAATGCTGAACAGGTAGCCATCACAATTTGCAAGGTCCATTATTTCAGGACATACGTCCCTTTCAATCCTATATATAAATGCTGCAGTTTTGTTTTTTTTGCTGTAAAATTCACGTGTCGTTTCTTCTTTTTGCTTTTCTTTTTTTTTTTATTACTATTATGGATCCCACTTATTTTTTTTTTTAATTTTTTTAAAAAAATGTGAGAGCCACGTCCTTGAAACAAAACTTATATAAAATTTGTTAGATCAAATTGATGAATTTTTTTTTAAAAATAATTTAATAAAAATTTTAAATTAATTAATTGATAAAATTTAATATGAAAATGAATAATATATAAACAAATTATTTATAATTTAAAATTAATTGATACTTATTTAACAATAAAAATTTTATCAATATTTTTATTAAAAATATTTATCTAAAAATATATGTAATATTTAAATTTTTTAAAATTTTATACATTTGAACTATATAATGATATTTTTTAATTTTAATTTTAATTTAATTATTTTTAATAAAAAATTTCACAAATTTCATCTAAATAACTTCATCCAAATTTTTTCCACATCCTTAATGGTCAGTCACTCTTGATACGAGTGTAACGGTGGCTAATATATATGACAACAATTTTAGTATTTTACCCAAAATTTTTTATTTTTTTACTTGACCAACAAAATCTCATCCACCTGTATCCTTGTTGTCTCTTCTTACAACCATCCCACCATCCCACGCAGCTTAACCTATATCCAGGCGGCCACCATCTCCATGAGTCAAAGTAACCATACGTGGCAGCTTGCCGAATTGACCTCTACATTAAGTCTTCCGAAACAATTAAGAAAATCAAATCCGTCGATTTCGAAAAGGACATAAATAAAAGTATAATCGAATCGAATCAAATCGATAAAATTAGAAGTTTGAATTTAAGTTCGACTTTTAATTCGAAGTTTGATAATCATTTCAAACTCGATCAAATTTTATTTTTTTAGTTTGAGTTCGATTCGTAATCGAAATCGAACTACTCGAACGTACTCGATTAAACTCGATTAATATGTTGAAATAAGTTCGATTCTTATATTCAATAAGAAGTCGATTATTTATACTCGAACTTGAATTCGAGATATTTTATTAATTAAAATAATAAAAAAATTTAAATATAAAAGTTCGATTAGCTTCACGAGTTATTCGAACCGGATATAAGAATACTCGAACTTAACTCAATCGATAAGTCGAATTATTCGAATTCGAGCTCGACTCGATAATAATCGAACTGAATTTGAGTTTTATTAGAATTAAATCCAAATAACTTGTGAATACTAATGTATCATTTACACCACTAGACATAAACAAGAAACAGACGATACCAAAGGTAGCACCAAGCCACCCTGAACAAAACCAACACTGTACTTTCCTTTTCCATCTCTTTTTAATTGGAGCAAAATCTTTGCAAGAAAGTAAAATCCCGCGAAATTATTAAACATATTCTTCCTTTTGTTTGTTTAGCTTCTAGTAAGAAGAAGAAGGATTTTTGGTCTCGTGCGTTTTACTTTCCCTGCCTAAGTAGGAGGAATGTTCTTGCTTTAATTGAGTTCTGAAGCGATCCATACACTCCCTACTTCAACTTCTGAACTGCAGCTGCCAACAAAAAGCGGAAAGGGCCCTCTTTGGCTTTTTAGATAGCCCAAAATTGTTCTTTTTTTCACTTGAAGAATCACAAACAGGTAAGAGTTATATTCTACTTGAACGTTTCCTTTGTTTCCATTTTATGATTTGTGTTGATTGTGATTGAATTTATTCATCTTAAACGAGGGGACTTAAAAAGAATTGTTCCTTCTTTTATGGTGTAACTGAGTTACTTTTATGTTTAGAAAACAGTAATTTTAATTAGTGAAAAATACAGCTTTTTTATGCTTATATGGAAAACAGTGATTTTGCTGTGAGTTTTCTGTTTGAAGCAGTGAATTTTATGTTTATAGAAAGAATATATTGCAGCCTGGAGAGTTTAATTGTATAATTTGGTAGATTTCCTGATTTGGAATTATCTTTGTTTATACAGGAGAGAATTTATATAGATGGCGACCATACAAGATATAGGGGTTGCAGCAGCAATTTATCTGCTCAGTGCATTTATATTCTTTCTAGCCTTTGCCATATTGAGGCTTCAACCTCTCAACGATAGGTTTTATTTTCCTAAATGGTATCTCATGGACTTAAGAAGTACTCCTTCCAGGTCTGGAGCATTTGTGAGGAAATTTGTCAATTTGGATTTTCGTTCGTACTTAAGGTTCTTGAATTGGATGCCAGAGGCAGTGAAAATGCCAGAACCTGAGCTTGTTAACCACGCTGGATTGGATTCAGTTGTTTATTTGCGCATTTACTTGATAGGGTATGGTGTAGGCCCTCTCAATTTCTTAACTGTTCATGTTTTGCTTTACTTTTATTGCTTTGTTGGTTATGCACTAAATGGAAGTCTTACTTTTGCTGTATATGTTTTTTATTTGCCAATTTAACTGATCTTTTAGTCCTGAACTTATCTTAGTAAGTTCATGGGTTTATATATATTTTTAATTTTTTTTCTTCTTTTCTTGGTTAAGAAGAGGAAATTTTTATGAAATGGGTTAGTCTCTGCTGGTCAAGTTTGTTTATATGCTGTGAAGAATGTTATTTACCTTTATCATTTTTCATTTCATCTGTTGTGTTGTTCTGATTGCTCTCTTGTCATTTTGCATGCAGACTAAAGATTTTTGTCCCTATCGCGTTGCTTGCATTGGCAGTTCTAGCTCCGGTTAATTACACAAATAAAACATTGCAATCGCGGCTGAAGAGTATAACTTCTAGTGACATTGATAAGCTCTCAATTTCAAACATTCCACTTGGATCAGATAGGTCAGAGATCTTCTATCATTGCCAACTTCTTTCGTCTTAATCTGTCATTCAGATAAACTCATTCTAGTTATAAAGCATCTGTTTTTTCTTTTTACCTTTCTTTTTTAAGTAACTGAACATTGCAGTAGAATAATATTTAATCCTGTGTCGTAGGTTTTGGACTCATATTGCAATGGCTTATGCTTTTACCTTCTGGACATGCTATGTTTTGCAAAAGGAGTACGAGACAGTTGCATCTATGAGGTTGCTATTTCTTGCATCAGAAAGACGCCGGCCAGATCAATTTACTGTAAGATCTATTCTTTCCATTATTATCAAAACTAATTTAAATTTATACTTTTAGTTTTATGTATTATCATGTAACCTTTCTTCTTTATCAGAGATTTAATATTCAAGGAGACATTCATGCAAGTTTGTTAGATGCTAGTGTCACAACATTGTGCAATATTATTGGATTGAGATTTTTCACTAAAATTCTTCTGAATGAAATTTGATTGTTGTCATGATATATACGACTGTAAATTTATTGCTAGATATAATTTTTGGAGTTGTCATTAATTTTTTTTTGTTTAGGTACGATTAATCATATAATTGAATCTGTTTTATTTTAAAGATAAGCTTAACTCGGTACCTTTAAATCATAGATTTTAATCTACGAAATCAAGATTAGATCCAAGAATTTTGTGACACCTAAAGAAGGTTATAATACCTTTACAATACCATCCTAAGGATGGTATTAGTTAATTTTGTATTACATGTTTATAATTTTATCGAATAAATTTGAAAACTAATCTTAAAATTAGTCTAGCAAATTAAGATAATTTTTCCACATCAAAAGTATTTATATTGATTAGTACTTTAAAGAGGTTCTATCATCGAATTTATTAATGTATTTTCTTTGGAAGTTAATTATTTTAAATATCAATAAAAAATTTCAAATATTTAGTAAGATTTTATTTTAATGCATATCCTCAAAAATTTGATGTGATTTTTTATTTGAAAATTTATTTATGACTTTATCTTGAAAAAAATCGTTAAATCTTCCAATAATTTAGTAAAATTCAATTATTAGATTTAAATCCTTTGGTTTGGTAAGATAAAAAATTTTATAAAAAATCATTAAATATTTCCATAATTTGGTAAATTTTAATTTAAAAATTTAAATTTTCCAATAGTTTGGTAAGATTGAAAATTTTATTTTTTATAAAAAAATTATTAAATTTTATAATAATTAGTAAGATTTAATTTGAAATTTAAATTCTAAAATAGTTTGGTAAATTAATTTGAAAACATTTTTAATTTTATTTTCTTATGAAAATTTTCAATAGTTTGGTAGAATTCATAATTTGAAAAATATTTTAAACGCATGAAAATCTTTCAATAATTTTGTAGGATTTCTAATAATTTTGTAGGATTAATGAATTATATATTTAAAATATTTTTAATAAAAATTAATTTAAACTACATGAATAAATAAATTTTATATTAACAAATTAAAAAACAAAATAAAAATTATCATAAAAGAGATTAGCTACTTGATTAAGACTTGATAGGGGTTCAATTATAGAAACAAATAACGACCTGGTGGCCTGATATATGGCTCGGCTCGAGACTTGTGAGATGCAATTTGCTAGATCTTGACGTTACGAGATTGGTCCATAATTGGATTGACGCTTAAGTTAGGTCGAATCAAGATGACGCTTGAGAAAACTAAAAATCGTCATTGGAATCTGAAAGTATCATCGAAATTCTCGTCGAGAATTGACGAGAATTTCGATGTTCATTGAAAAATATCATCGAAGCCTGGGAACTTCGTTAAGGAATCCTCCAGAACTAGAAAAAGCCGAAGTTTTAAACTTGAATTGCCTAAAATTTTTTTACTCTCAAGTTTTTTTCTGTGATTGTTTTGTGTTGATGTGTAAACTTGTAAAGTATTTATAGGCGTTTAGTTCCAACTTGATAAAACTCTAATTCAATAAAAAATTATTCTAAAAATTATTTTTAAAATAATTTTAAAATTTTATTCACATTCTCACCTATTTTTTCCAAAATCAAAATCCTTAGATTTTATCTGCACATTGTTTATTCGACAAAGAAATTGGCCTCGTTAGAAAACCCTTGAATTGAATGGATTTTTATATTTGAAGAATTCAACTTCACCCACACTTTCTTTTCAACTCTTTTAAATATTTTTCTGTTTTAAAAAAAATAAAAATAAAGATAAAAAAATGTAAAGATAATTAAGAAATAAATAAAGATATATAAGGAATAAATTACCAAATAAAAATAACTAATGAATATAAATAACTTATAAAAGTAAATGCAAATAAATAATAAAAAATTTCAAATAATAAAAGAAAATTTGGATTTTTAGATTTTAATTCAAATTAGGTCCAAATAATATAAAATAAATACTTCTCCAAAAATAAATAAAAAATTTTAAATCCGGATAAAATGGGATGTATACAAATGTTGTAGGTGCTTGTTAGGAATGTACCACCAGATCCTGATGAATCTGTTAGCGAGTCTGTGGAGCATTTTTTCCTGGTCAATCACCCGGATAACTATCTTACACATCAGGTCAGTTCCTCTTGCGTTTGTTTAATATCTATAATAGTACTCATTTTACAATGTTCAAAGATTATTATAGAATTCGTTTTACAATCTAGTTCTCCTTAAAAATATATGCAGGTGGTATACAATGCAAACAAACTTGCTAAGTTGGTGGAGAAGAGGAAAAGTAAGCTGAATTGGCTTGACTATTACCAACTGAAGTTTTCCAGAAATAATGCAAAAAGGCCTTTTATGAAGGTAAGTTACTGCAGTCTGTCATGGCTTTAAGAGCAGGTCTCTTGCTGATGTTCAGCTTTGCTTTATATTTATTGATAAGCATATTTTCTCTCTGCCAGACTGGTTTTCTTGGACTTTGGGGTAAAAGAGTGGATGCCATTGATGATTACATATCTGAAATTGAGAAGTTATCCAAGGAAGTGAGTATTTCCTTTTCATCTTGCACATTCTTTTGTGACTGTTTGATTTACTTGTTCATTCATTCAAAAGATTCAAGTCTGTCTCATATGCTGCATCCAAGCCTCAGTCATTTTCTAGATTGACTTACTTTATTGAGCCTAAGTTTTTAAAATAACGAAGCAGCTTAATTTAACTATTGCTACCACAAGAAAATGCCAAAATATGTTCTTGTTTCATATTTGAAGCAATATCTTTCATTGTTGTATTAAATGATCCAACTTTGAAATATGAGTTACTGTGCATTATCGCATTCTGTCTTCCTCCACTTCTTGTCTTTCAACGTGTGATGACATGGGTTGCTCATTTTCATATTCAGATAGCTGAAGAGAGAGAGAGGGTAACAAAAGGTCCAGAATCCATAATGTCAGCAGCATTTGTTTCCTTTAAATCTCGATGGGGTGCAGCTGTTTGTGCTCAAACCCAACAATCCAGGAATCCAACTTTGTGGTTAACAGAGTGGGCGCCTGAGCCATGTGATGTATATTGGCAAAACCTGGCAATTCCATACGTCTCACTAGCAGTTAGGAGGCTGATCATGGCTGTAGCATTCGTCTTCCTGACTTTATTTTTCATGATCCCAATTGCATCTGTACAAGCTCTGGCCAGCATTGAGGGCCTTGAGAGAGCAGCACCATTCCTGAAGCCCCTAATTGAAATGTGAGATCCTTTTTAATTTCAAAATCTTGAGCCATTATTTGGATTGCGTTACCATAACAATTGATACTGCATCTTTTCCTCTGCAGAAAATTTGTTAAATCAGTTATCCAAGGTTTTCTACCCGGTATTGTATTGAAGCTCTTTCTCAGTTTTCTGCCAACAATATTGATGATTATGTCCAAGTTTGAAGGATGCACATCACTATCATCTTTAGAGAGGAGAGCAGCAACTAGATACTATCTTTTCAATTTCGTGAATGTATTCCTCGGCAGCATAATTGCTGGCACTGCACTGGAACAGTTAAAGTCATTTATTAAGCAATCAGCAAATGAGTATGTATTCCTTCCATTTTCATTACTGAATATCTGCTTTAAGTGATGCAATTGCTGTTTCTTCATTGGTATCCTTGCATACTTAGTATCAGATATGTGGGCTTTTGGTATAGATTCTCAGTTGACCGGTTTTTCTCCATCAAAATGACTACAATTTACAAGGACAAGCATCTTGTAGTCAGACAGCTATCCCTGTTACAATTTAAGGGGTAATTACATTTTATGCACAAAAATGGGTTTCTAAAGTGCATATATGTGATTCCTGTTGATTGGCAGAAACCTTTGCTTGATTTCCAAGAATTTAATTGGCACCGGGTGATGATTTGTATCTTATGGAATCATAGGGATTTTTCTTTTATGAACATATCTTGGACTAGCTTCCAAGTTTACAATTATTTCTTCCATGCCTTGCAAAAGTCGAAACATATATTATTCGTGGAGTTCTATATATTTAGCTGCATAAGTGAGGAATCTTGCATTAACTGTTTCTGTTTTTGGTGTCAAATATGGCTTCATTACGTTATAAACAGGTTTTTTTTTCCTCCTTTACAGAATTCCTAAAACAATTGGTGTTGCCATAGCACTAAAGGCCACCTTTTTCATTACTTATATCATGGTTGATGGATGGGCTGGAATAGCAGCAGAGATTTTGATGCTGAAACCGCTTATACTTTACCACTTGAAGAGTTTTTTCTTTGTGAAAACCGAAGAGGATAGAAAGGAGGCAATGAATCGAGGAAGTTTAGGCTTCAACACTGGAGAACCTCGTATACAACTCTATTTTCTACTTGGCCTGGTTTATGCTTCTGTGACACCTATTCTACTTCCTTTCATTATAGTTTACTTCGGGCTAGCTTATGTTGTCTTCTGTCATCAGGTGAAAAACTTAGATATGGAATACTTGTACTGTGGTAAATGAATTTTTCTTTAGTTGTGTCTGATTCTCTTTTTCTTTTTTCCTTTGAAAATGTAGATCATTAATGTTTACAATCAAGAGTATGAGAGTGCTGCAGCATTCTGGCCTGATGTCCATGGACGCATTATAACTGCATTGGTTATCTCGCAAGTTACTCTCATTGGATTATTAAGTACAAAACGTGCTGCTCAGTCAACACCAGTTCTCATTACTCTTTCTGTCCTCACAATTTGGTTTCACTACAGATTCTGCAAAGCCAGATATGAACCCTCTTTTGTTAGATATCCTTTACAGGTTTGTTGATGCTTGCACATTAGAAGTGATGATTTCTTATCTGTATTTTGAATGATTCAAGCTAAAGAAATCAAGGATCCTGCTAAAAATCACAAGGATAACAGGTTACAACAAATAAGAAATCAAACAAAATTCCCTGAACTTGAATGATTCAATTCATAACCAGCTTTCTTTCTCATCACTACCGTTATCTAATGAAATTTAGTTAACGACTGCCACCGGAATAATAGATGAGCTGCAGCTTCAATTTACGTAGAGTTATGATTTGCTTATTTTTGCTTTACTTGTTAATTTTTTTCTTTCATGAATCAATGGTGTAATAAACCTTGTATCATTATTTAATATATTTCCTGTCGTTTGTTTCAGGAAGCAATGATGAAAGACACTCTGGAACGTGCAATGGAGCCAAACCTCAATTTGAAGCCCTATCTTCAAAATGCATATGTCCATCCTGATTTCAAAGGGGATGAAGACTGGAAGGAGGAATTTAACCTTAGGTTACAAGAAAATGGGAGTGTGTTAGTACCCACAAGACGCCAATCTCGAAGGAACACACCAGTGCCTAGCAGCATCAGTGGTGCATCCTCATCATCGTCGCCAGATGCTATTCCTGAACATTCAGAGCCCTGAATTATAGGTACAACTGTGAGTTGTATTGTCACTATACTGTATATTTTGACTGTGGCTGAGCAACATGATGCAGTCTAAAGAGGGTGGCAATGTAAATTAAATGAACAAATAGTGGAAGAGGAGGCAGTCAAGAGACTCTGAGTAGAAAACAAGTTGTGAATTTTGTGGCTGTTAAAATAAAGATTTATAAGAGGATGATAGAGTAAATATTGTGCAAGAGTATTTGCTTGAGATTTCTTCTGATTTGTTTCTAAAACAAAAATAATTGTTTCTTTTTTGCAAAAGGAATTGTTTATTTGATGCTTATCCATGGAGGTTTGTGAGTAAACAAAACAGCTGTTAGAATGACACTACCTTAAAACCAAATCTTGTTCATGACCAAAAACCATGGGCTTTAATCCAGAAAAGGAAAACTAAGATAAAACCAGGGCTGGTAGGAAATGGGAATGCAAATTCATAAATGCCAAAATCATTTTTCCTAAATATTTCCTTTCACTCCTTCACCCTTTTCGCCTCTTAAATAGTTTCTCTGGTTACCACCCACAGAAACCTTCTTCCATTTTGCATTAAAAAAAAAACCATTTCTATACTTTTTGTTGGTCTAAACAGAGTGGTCTGTCTGAATATAAAACATAAAAAGAAAGAAGATTACACTGTTCCCTTCGGCCATTGACATGTTGAACAGAAAGTTCAGTAATTAGGCAACTTCACTTGCCAAATTTTAAGGTAATTTGCCTTCCCATTTCCACATTTTGTTAAGGATTTACATATATACATAAATATATCTTCTTTCACCTCTTCCCCCTTCATTAATTGTTTTCATATTCAGCCATGCCTGCTTCTTCTTCTTCTTCTTTTAATATCCATTGTTATTAATTTGGATCCAGAAATTATAGGATTTTACTTTGTTCATCTCATTTTAATTGTTTTCCTTCACGTAGATTAAGTTTTAATATATTTAATATCATAAATTTAATTTTCATGATATTAATGTATTAAAATGAATGAGAAGAGAAAGCATTACCGCAATGAACTTTGGCAAAAATTTTTTTTATTTGTTAAATTATTATTGTTAGGAGATATTAGGGGGTGCCTCGGCTTTCTCGTTGGTGTTGCGGCTTCCTCGTGGCGTTATTGGAGGGCCACGAGAGAGCAACATACTGGCTCGTGTCCTTTTCTTTATACAGTTATTATTCCAAGTAGAAAGTCGAATTAACACGTGTGCTTTAGTCCTTACTGGCAGTGGCAGTGGGCCCGCCATATCCGTTTTGCTAATTAGGAGATTTTTTTTTATTTTGTGACCTTTTTACGAATACTTGTACAAATGTGAAATAAATTTAAAATTAGTGCAAAAATAAAAGATTTTAATAAAATCATCTAATAATAAATAAATAAATAAGAAAAGATGGATCGTTGCGATGTGTCATCAAATCCTACTTGGAATAGTAATTAGTAATTTCCTGAGATGATTAAATCCCTTAAAAACACAAACACCAAGTCCGCAAAGATCCAAACACCGTATCTGGTCCCAGACAGACTCCCAGGCCTAGCAAAACCGACCTTTTCACTACATGCTTTCTATATAAACGTACACGACCAAACGCTCCTTTGGAGTCCTCGCTTAGCTGATCGCCTTTTCTTTTCTTTTTAATTTCCTGTCTCATTCTTTTTTGTTTCTTTAAATTGCATCAACGATTTTTCAAAGAAATTTTGCTTTTATATGATAAAAACAGAATTGACTCTGGTCCGCGCATGTTTCGCTTTTCTTTATATCCATTGATCAGGTCAGTCCCAGACTCTTCACTCTTGATTGATATTGTCGGTTTAATTTCGTTCAAGAATCTCAATTATGCTTTATCAGTTTCTTTAAAATTTTCTTTTTCTTTGCAATGATTTGCTCCTGAAGAAGATTCGCAGTGAATCTGTTGATGTTGGAATTCATATTAATGAAAATCATCCTAATTCACATAGATAATTTGGGTATTTTGAGGATAATTCAGTTGACTTGACCTGAGTCAATGCTAGTGATCCAATATCTGCATTCGATTTATTTCTAAGGATCATAAATTTATAGCCTGGGATTTATTGTCATTGATTTGAGCAGTTTTTTTTTATAGATTTAATTCTCCAGACAATGTATAGAGATATAATGCCGGAGTTTTAGCTCAATAATCACACTGAATCCATGACTAAGTTTGTTGGTTTCTTGCTGCTTCTTTTGGTTATATAAGAAAACTCATGATGTGTTTTTGCTTTTCTATCAGATATTTTTTGTGGAAAGTGGTTCAAAGAATGCCAATTCTTAGAAGTTTGATTAGCATTAGTTGTTATAGCAAGGTCTTTGCCGGATTGATAAAGTATAATGTTGACTTTGTTATCTGACTGAGCATCTTTCTCATCTTGCAGTGAGAATGGCAACTGTGATTGCTAAGGGAGAACGGTTGAACTGTCATGCTAGTCATGGTATGGGGACAACCTTAAGTTCATGGCATGTGACGAAGAAAAGAAATTCCATGATAGTGGACCGTGAAAATAAAAGGACAACATCTGATGGGAATGGCAATGCGGTGCAATTGTCAACGAGAACAAAAAATCCATCAAAGAAGCAAAAGCTAAGTAAAGGAATTGAATTCTTAGAGGATGAGGACATTCCTAAGAGGCATTGTAATGGAATAGACAAGATAACTACTTCTCAGAAGCAAGATATATTAGATGAATGGGAGGCGGAAGCTATTGTGTTTATGAACATGAAAGCGCGGAGTAGAAGCAGAAATTTGGACAGTGTGATGATCAAAGGAAGCCCTAGGGAAACTAAGAAGAATATTTGTGATCCTATTGATACTTCATTGTTTTCATCATCATCTTTGTCGTCATCCTCTTCGGGCACATCATTTTCACATTTGAAAGGTGACAGTAGTAGCATTGATAGATGCACAAAGAAAAATGTTAAGGTATTTTATTTCTTTTTAATTCTTCAACTGAAATTTCTCTTTTCTTGCTTTTTATTAACCCCTCAAATACCAAGATTATTCAATTTGATCTTCATTTTTCTCACTGACAATTATGAGAAATCTTGCTTTAATCAGGCCAAAAGAAAAAATTTTAAGTGTCATCAGTGTATGACTGAAAGGAGAACTGTTGTTCCGTGCATGAAATGTGAAGTGAAGGTGTACTGCACCAATTGTATCAGACAATGGTAACACTCTCAACCTAACGGGCTTCAATTTTTTATTTTTAATAATCTCAAAGTCTTTCTCATTTTTTTTTTCTGTTGTGGTGCGTTTAGGTATCCCAATAAACCAAAAGAAGAAATTGCAATGCAGTGCCCATTTTGTTGCAGGAATTGCAACTGCAGCATTTGTTTGCACTCAAGTGGATTAATTATGGTCTGTTTTTCATTTTAAGTAAACCAGAATTAAATTATGCAGTGGCCTCGGGTTTATTCTTTTGGATAAATTGTTCTATATAATTGGCTTGCTAAACAGATGTTGGCTGAATAACTAGTGTTCCTACATAGAATGCATAGAAAGGATTTTGATATCTTGGTACAGATTTCATCAGTTGGTGCTTTGCACGAAATTTAATGTCTTTGCTTCTGAGGTTGTTAACCATGATTAATTACTTCATTAGCATGGGGCCATGAACATACCAATGGAATTGTCACCTAATAATTTTCTTTTCTGCCTAATCTACAGACATCAAAGAGGGACATGTCAAATCAGGAAAAGATTAAGCATCTGGAATACTTGATTGAGTCAATGCTTCCCTTTCTGAAACAAATTTGTAAAATGCAAAAGCAGGAGACAGAGGTTGAGGCTGTAATTCAAGGTATTTTTTTCTTTTTTTTTTTTTTCCCAAAACTTTTGCTGCAAGCTCTCTCTGAATATTCAGTTGGTTCTGACAAAAGATTCTCTGTTTAGGGTTATTGCCTTCTGCAGTTGAAATACCAGAGACTCTTTGTTATAATGATGAACGTGTCTATTGGTAAGCATTTCTCTCTACATAATCATACAACTTATTATGTCATTGTATTTGTTATTCACTTTTTCTCGTTGACCATCTCTCGACCCCCACTATTTTATTTCTTTGGAACAGTAATCACTGTGCAACTTCAATCTTTGACCTTCATCGTAGCTGCCCAAAATGTTCATATGAACTCTGTCTTAGTTGTTGTCAAGAAATTCGGGAGGGAAGACTTTCTAGCCGTGATGAAGTTGCATATCAATACAGGAACAGAGGCTACGATTATGTTCATGGTGGAGACCCTTTACCAGAATCTTATCTACCTGAAACAGGTAAGGATTCGGCTAAGCCATCAATTCAATGGAAAGCCAATAATGATGGAAGTGTTACTTGTCCTCCCAAAGAAATTGGTGGCTGTGGTGATTGCAGATTGGAGCTTAAACGTATCCTTCCAGTGGGATGGATTTCAAATTTGGAAGCAAATGCAGGGAAAATGTTGCGCACCTGCAGAACTGGACAAGGGATATTGAAGCATGAATGTGCTATATCAGGCAGAGGGATGTTACATAGGGTGGCTTCTAGAGAAGGATCTAATGACAATTGCTTATATTCTCCAACTTCAGATGGCAATCAACAGGAAGACCTTTGTCACTTTCAAATACACTGGGCTAAAGGTGAACCAGTTATAGTTCGCAATACTCTTGCAAATTCGACTGGTTTAAGCTGGGAACCGATGGTAATGTGCCGTGCTTTATGTGAAAATGGGAATTCAGATATTAATTTGGAGATGTCCGAAGTTAAGGCTATTGATTGTCTAGCTGGTTGCGAGGTTAGTTCTGTTCTCCCCTTGTAGCTTTTAGGCCACTTTTTTTTTTCTTTCTCAAGCATTCTTTTCATGGCTATGATATGTTTAAAGTATGATTTTTTGAAGATATACAGGTGGCGATTAATACTTACCAATTTTTCAAAGGCTATATGGAAGGGAGAAGTTATGATAACTTCTGGCCTGAGATGCTAAAGTTAAAGGACTGGCCCCCATCTAATAAGTTTGAGGATCTCTTGCCTCGTCATTGTGATGAGTTTATAAGTGCATTGCCATTTCAAGAATACACTGATCCAAGATCTGGTATCCTTAACATTGCTGTGAAGTTGCCACCTGGTGTCCTGAAACCAGACTTGGGCCCGAAAACATATATTGCTTATGGGATTGCAGAGGAGCTTGGAAGAGGGGACTCTGTGACCAAGCTTCATTGTGATCTGTCAGATGCGGTATGCCTTAATTAGCTGCAAGATCTAAAAGCCCATATGTTCTCTATTTTTTGTTTATCCTGCTCATATATTTACAAGTTAATAATAAGAATGACTTTCAGTTAGCTTCCTGTGATGTAATTCCTTTGTTTTCTGCAAATAAATTGTCTAGCTTTTAATCCATCTGGAATTTCTGAGTGATTATGTTTAAGAGAGCCTCGGGGAAAGAGATATGTGATGAAAGAGGTTTGCCTCTTATTATTAAATTTCAAACATTCATTGTTAGTTGATTTAGAATTGTTTAAAACAGTACTGCATGAGGGTGCATCTTGTTGGGACTGTTCAGATTTAGGAATATGCGGTTGATGGTCTTATGAGAACTTCACGTACTTAATCATCTATCACAACTTTGTTTTCTAGTTCTTTCGAGTGCTTGTTACAACATCTACTGACCTTTTTCCTATTATTAATCGCTGCAGGTAAACATTTTGACACATACTGCAGATGTAACCTTAGGTGACAAGCAGTTTTCTGCAATAGAAAATTTGAAAATGAGACACAAGGCGCAAGATGAAAAGGAACGTTTAGAGAGAGAGAGAGTAGAAAGGCATCCAATTAAAGAAGGCCTTCATGCTGTAGAAAGTAATGATCCAGAAAATAAGATGGATGTTCCAGAAATCACATATCAGAAAGATTACTACTCGGATAATAATATACTTGATGTTTCTAGAGATGAGCTTGGAGCTAGAATTTCTGGTTTCTCAACCTTGGGAAAGGAGACAGGTGGTGCCCTTTGGGATATTTTTAGGAGGGAGGATGTTCCTAAATTGGAAGCTTATCTTAGGAAGCACTCTAAAGAATTCAGGCATACCTATTGCTTCCCCGTTGAAAAGGTAATCTAAAAGCATTGAACATTTCTTCTAGTTGTTACCTTTCAGTTACATTTTCTACATTCTTGATGTTTGTGGTTATCATCAGGTAGTCCATCCCATCCATGATCAATCGTTTTACCTAACTGCGGAGCACAAACGGAGACTGAAGGAGGAATTTGGTTAGTACAACAAATGCACTTTGATGTTTAATACAACAATTTCCTGGTACTGGGTTCCTCATGTGTGTGTTTGTGCTGTCTAGGAGTTGAGCCATGGACGTTTGAACAAAACCTGGGAGAAGCTGTTTTTATTCCTGCTGGATGTCCACACCAAGTCAGGAATCTGAAGGTATTAATCAATACATTCATCCTCATTATATATGTTCTTTATACAACTCTGTTTGTGGTCTCTCATTGTTGTGTTTCCGCAGTCATGCACCAAAGTTGCGGTGGACTTTGTGTCTCCCGAGAATATAAAGGAGTGCCTCCGTTTAACAGAGGAGTTCCGCCAACTACCCAAGAACCATAGAGCCAGAGAAGACAAACTTGAGGTACATCCTTTCATATATGCTCTTACACTTTGTTGTCTTTGATTTATCATTTCTCTTGCTAAAGCTTTATTGCATGCCGTTTCGTTTCGCATAAACAGATCAAGAAAATGATAATTTATGGAATAGAACGAGCTGTTAAAGAGTTATCAGAACTGATGTCAACTCCAAATTGAGCCCCTTGAAAGCTTCTCCAACTGCAACAATGGAACCGCCCTTTCTGTCGATCGAGTAATAAAAGACTCTCTAGCTTTCTGTAAATTCAAGAATATGGACAAATATCTTTATTGTGCCTCCGGAGTTAACTTTTTGTACATTCGAGCCCGAGTTAGCCTCACTCGGAATTTTTCTAGCACTTCTAATATAATACCATCAAATTTTTTTTTTTTTCATTCTTCTTGCAGCTATTTATCTAATTACTATCTATTAAAGATTATCATTTTATATATGAAATTTTGAAGTTCACCAATGAATTTATAGGATTATTTAACAATTATATTGATTTTTAAAAAATATAATGTAATGAACATGTAATAACTTGCTCATAAAATATAAAATCTCATTTGCTTTTCCCATTTAAAAATGATATATTAATAATAGTTAGATTATGAAAGAATATTAAAAGCAAAGGAAAATTTTTTTTCTTGAAAAAACTATGGATTGTTGAATCAAACGTGAAAAAAGTATAAATATATACTTACATATATATATATATATATATATATATATATAAAGCAATAACCAAAAAAAAAAAAAAAGAAACAAAAATTTAAGTCAGTTAACACTCACAAAAAAAAAACAGAAGAAAATTCGATAAAAAATCAAACAAAATAAATCTAAAACCAAATCAATTTTATATACAATCAATTTGGTAAAACATTTTAACATGAGTCCTCACATCTTTAATAAAATAATACATAAAAAAAAAATCATTACTAACATTTATATTTATATCTAATCACGTCTCATAAATATTCTTAATACCCCTTATCAATTACACCACTTATTTGAACTAAAAATAAACACAAATCACGTTTAAAATATTTTAAACGAACTATATCACACATCCAATTATCTAAAAACAATTTATAATATAGCACATCACAAGAAATCATTACCAACATTTATAACTATTTTCCTTTAATATGAATCTGCAATAAAGCTTATCATTTATACCAAATTATTTGTCTTTAAAAAAAAATCATGAGAGATTATACAAATCAACTATCAAACATTATGCAAACAATTCATTTTCTATAAAAAAAACTAATAAAAATTTAAAAATTCCTAAAAAACCCAAGAGATGCCATAAAAAATTTATAATCTTACTTACCATATAAAAGCCCAAATACTTCAGAGAAAAATCATCCCATTCATTCAACCAACCAGTTATAATCAAGATTTTCACAAACAAAATATAACACTACCCATAAAAAATGAAAAAGTAAAGGAAACAATCATCCCAAACAAAATTAAGCTTAACTCTTGAGAATTTTAAACCAGTTAACATACCTGAAATGTCACACATCCAAAGTGATTCTTCATGTAACAACAAAATGAACCAAAGAAACCCATCAATTGAACAAAACTTGTTCATTCCTGATCGACAAAACCTACCCTCCCTCTTCGACGCAACACCAAAACCTACCCAAAATCATTTCCCACAACACTTCACCGTTCACGTTCCCTTCATCCACTCCCATTGAAAAAATAATAAATTTCAAATTGATAATCAACAGCAAAGGACTCAAAACAAACATTAAGAACCAAAAACAATCCAATTGAGGTAACAAAAAAAAAAAAAAAAAAGAAACTAAGACACAGGAAAAAAGAGGACAAGAAACCGAAGCAATCTTCAAAGCACATAAAGAAAAGCAATAGTTTACAGATAGAAGAAATAAGAAAAATCATCAAAAAAAAAAAAAAAAAACCACATAAAATGACAAGACACACTATTTCAATTAAACTTAAACAACTAACGTGATGCCCTAAGGATGAATAGGAGATAAATTTATAAGGTAATTATATATATATATATATGTATATGTATATGTATACATATACATATAAATACATACATATATATATATATAAAGCAATGGACCATCATCACATTTTCTTTTTGATTTAGGGTTTATATATATATATATATATATATATATATATAAAGCAATAGACCATCATCACATTTTCTTTTTGGTTAATCCATTAATTTTTTTGAAAATAAAAAATTAATATTTTTAGTATTTAATACACTATCGATGTAATTTTTTATTTCTCACAAGCAAAGTTAAGAAATATGTCTTATTTTTTTAATTAGTTTTTTATTATTTTAAATATATACTAAAAATATACATTATCTTATTAACCTCACTTGTGAAAATTCAAAATGACACTAACACCACTTGTAGAGTCTAAAAACTATAATAAGTAAAATAATTTTTATTTCTTTGTACAAAAATGAATAATCTTAGATCTTCTCAAAGAGATTGAAGAATAAAAAAACTTTCTTTGTACCCAAAAATAAAGTAAATAATCTTAACTTTTCATAAAGAGACTAAAGAATAAAATAAATTGTCTAAATTATATTATCATATATCAATAAAAATTACAATCACAAATAAATAAATAAATATAAAATAAACCAATAAATAACCAAATCAACTATCAATAAATCAATATATAATTAAATGAACTTAAAATTAAAACCTAAAAATTCCTAAACCTTTTGCTTGTTATTAAAAGGGGATTTCAATGACTAAGAATAAAAAAAGTTTAATGTTAAAACCTTCCCTTAATTAGGTCATATATAACGTTTTTTAATCTAAAAAATACAAATTTCTCAAAAATTTCATGGATTCATCATTAAAATTTATAATATAAAAGCAAGATAAAAAGAAATTAAAATAATGAAAACAACATGAAAATGTACAAAAATTATACAAGTTAAATCTTTTAAGAGTGCAATGAGATGGAACTTACCTTGCACCAACATCTCCAACAAAAGTTAGATAAAGCACTCCAATCAAAGAAAACTATTATCTATTGCTTCCTTTCTTCCCATGTGAGATCTAAGATCTCTTTTCTCATTGAAAATATTGGGGGCTAGAGCCTTTTTTATATGCTAATTAATCATTGATTAGGGTTTCATGGTTGTTTAATGAGATGACAAAATTACCCTTCCTCTAGAATATTCTTAACACTTGAATTAATCATTCAATAGGAGTGTGATGCAAGTCATTGAGTCAATAGGGCTTTCCCTTTGTTTTTACTTTTAAACTTAGATAATCTTTTTGTTAAGAATAATCTCTTAAAAGGATCATTATACAAGATTATTTTAACTTCTTAATATTGTTTAATAATCTTATAAAATAAAATTAAAATTAAAATCTAAGATACTCTTAATTATATTATTAAAAAATAAATTAAAATAAAAATGACATTGAGTGATATAAATTCAAAAGATACAATGGATATAATATAAGATTAAAGATTTACAGAAATTAAATTTGATCATTTAGTATACTAACGTTAAATATTTAAAATAGCTGACTGAATTGGTATCACTTGTTAACTGGATACCAACTCAATTAATAAAATTATTTAAAAATTTGAATAAAATAACAACATTAAAGATAATTATGTATTTTTATATTAAAAAAACTACTCACATATCTAACATCATGTAATTTTCTTATTTTTTGAACTATTTTTTTAGCCACATAGTGTGAAAAATCTAATTTATTGAAATCTTAATGCAATTTCAACTTGAAACCACTTAAATGCCCCTTATGCAAAAAAAAAAAAAAAAAAAACTTATTGTATTTTGAATTAACAAATGAGACTAGAATGCTACACTGCCGTAATTTAAACTTGAATTATTGAAATTTAAATTATGAAAAAAATCTTGAAATTAGGAATGTCAATGGGTAGGATAGAATACTCCATCTTTTTATTTCTAAAATTTTATATTATATTCATTTTCGTATTCATATTCAATAGATATTTTAAATTTATCTCTATCTCCATCTCTACGAGTATGTAATAAGTATGGATAATTCTCATATTCGTAGCTTTTGAAAAAAAAATAAAAATAAAAATATTTTTTAAACTCTTTTTTTATTTTTTATTTTGTATATTTAAGTAATTTTTTATAAATATATATTAATATATATTTTTTCAATAAAAATATATTAATTCTAATTAATCTAAAGTAATAATTTATATTATTTAATAAAAAATCTATTTACTAAATATATATAAATATATATAATGGTACGGATATGAGGCGAATACTATATTACTAATTTTCATCCTCATAACTAATAAAAATTTAAAATTATACTTATTATCATCCCTATCTCCACAATATAATACACATCCACATCTTTTATTGGGATAAAAAATCAAATTTCTCATTAGATATGGATAAAATTGACATCCTTACTTAAAAGTTGAAACTAAGGTATTTTTTTAGTTATTATATGTCATTTTTTTTAATTTTAAATTCATCCTTGGATAAAAAGAAAAATAAATTCAGCACTTATTAGGTTACTTGAAAATCTTAAAGTGGTTGGGCTTTGAAATTTAACCGTTGTTGGCCCATACATTACTTAAACCGACAATACATCTGTGAAAATGTTAAGGCCCAACATTAAATACATCTGTAAAGATGTTAGGGCCCAACATTAAAACAATAGCAGCAGAAGAACAAGAATTACAACAAGCCAGTTAAACCGCCAAACATTATCCCGATTCTCGTTCTTCTTCAACCTTTTGCCACTCTTCAATCTTCTTCTTCTTTGCTTCTCTTCCTTCAACCTTAATTCATGACCACAAAATGAACATAACCGATGTTAAAGTCCAACCATTCTCTCACTCTCATCCTCTTCACCATCATACATTTCTCTTTTCGAGTAAAAGCCTTCCATTGCCAAGAAAATGTGCAGCTGCCCCTGTTAAAAAGTTACCATCTTTTGCTTCTATTTTGTATAAAAAAAAATACCCTTTTATGCTACGGTTGTTTTGGTATTAGTAGAAGTAGAATCAGGAGCTCGGTAAGTGAAGTTGAAGAGGAGCTAAATCAGAACCCAGTGGCTTTGAAAAGGGCTTATCTTTTTAATGAAGTTGAGCCCAAATGGCAGCTTTATTGGGAGGAAAATCGAACCTTCCGTACACCATGTGGTGTTGATACTTCTAAACCCAAATATTATGTCCTTGACATGTTCCCTTATCCCAGGTCCTTTATCTACTTTTAACTGTTGTTTTATACTTTTATTTCTACTATTTTAAAAAATATGGAGGTCCCTCTCTATTTACTTTTCAAGACTTGCCCTCTTAGAACACTTTTGGCAATAGCCTAGTTTTGTTAAGCATATTTTTGTGCAGTTTAGTTGATTGAATTTCGTAGCTTTGAGTTGCTTTGGTAAATATGTTGGGTTTAGGAACTGGGTAGTTTTGGGGGTTGCATTCAGTTTAGTGATCCTTTTTTGTCCTTTATGTTGAGTTGTTATGAATGAAGTTTTGTGTTATTGGATGGAAACGATGCAGTGGAGCTGGATTACATGTTGGGCACCCACTGGGACATACTTCTACAGATATTCTTGCGAGGTTCAAACGCATAGGGTTACAATGTGTTACATCCGACGGGATGGGATGCTTTTGGATTGCCTGCTGAGCAATATGCAATTGAGTTTTGCGTGAAATCATGATATGTAATTCTCATTATTGTGCAATGTCATGATTCATTTTTGATATTATTAATTGGTTTCATAATGTGTTTATCTTATTAAATACTTGGCGGTTTTTCTTATTAAAACCATTCATCTAACACCAAGTTTCTAAGAATAACATATGTCATGAATTTCGTTCATCTTAAAGTTAATGCACACTTCATTCGTTTCACAGCTCAAAGTTCTCACTGTAGCAACTATTTCTTCAAGTCTCAGATGTGAATTTTGCCCAGAGAAATATGTGGTAAACTATTTATACCATGCAGGTCAATGAAACTCCATCCTGGGAGTATCATCAAGCCAAAAAACTTCATTTGAGCCATACCGGCATCCCCTTCGCCGTTCCATCGACTCATCGAAGCGTAACAGTGTGCTATCTGAACTAAGTTTCCAGCACTTGCGGGCCTCAACATGATAACATCTTGGGCAATAACATCAACAAGTCCCAGGTTATCATCTGATCGACAGGCCTCAAGGAGCATAATTAAAACATCAACTGCAGGCTCCGGAAAGTTCCCTTCGTAGAAGTTATAAGCTTCCAGCTCGACAAAGGAGATTAACGATGCAAGCATGGTGCTCAAGTTCTGGTTGAATCCCCAAATCTCTAGACATTGACTGGAATATGCTCAGACCCTGGTCAACAAGCCCATTGTGACTGCAGGCAGAGAGAACTGAAAAGAAAATCACCTTATTTGGTGCATCTGGTGCTCCATATCTACCAAACTTGTGTCAACTTGCCACTCCTGAATTTTTTCCAACCATTGTTGTGAAAGAGAGCTCCTCATAGCATGAAGAAACATGGCACAGATATTTGGAAAAGGAAAGATCAAACTGAGAAATACAGGGCAATAGAAGGTCGCGATCTTTATTGTTTGTGAGGTGGCTTACAGACAATATATTCAGCAGGAAAAGAAATCAATTTCTGAATACTGTTTTTGCACGGACAATTAGCAGCTTGCAATGGCCAAAACTATTTAGCTGCTTGTTGAAATTGTGATAAGGATTAAGGAACAGCAATCAAATCATGAGGAAATGAAAACTGTAGTGTCTTTGCTTTCCGCTAACCAAATAGTTGCAGTGCCATATGAACTTATGGGATTCTGTGTTTTAATCTAAACTTGTTTTACATCTTTGTTGTACAACAATTTTCTTTAAGAACTATTGCGCTGTCTAGAATATGTGCTTTTTGTACCAAATTGGGGAATCATGGCTGGCTTTAATAGCATTAAACAACCAGATATTGTTCTGCTCTCTATCAGATTTTGCTTTTCTAGCTAGTTTTGTCACATGCTTTTCTCTTTTTCCCTTCTTTTCCAGACAAGTTTGTTATAGCGTGTAAGCTTAACCGGCAAGGGATGAAGAAAATGATCAATCATGTAAATCTTGGGTTTCAAAAAGTAGATTTTGTTAGGAATTTGCCAATGTGAGGCTCACCACCAGGCACAAAACTATGAATTAAATCTGATATGAATAATAAGCCCAACTGGTAGGGGGAGCAAAATTAAATAAGTTTGACCTGATCGTAGTGCTCAAGGATGTTGTTATCTGCATCTTCCTTTGGTTAAAAGTTGGATAAAGCGAGTGACTTAAAAGGTTGGCAAAGAGTGGTGGTAAATAGGTACTATATGACTTATTGGGTGTAATTGTTTTCGATGCATAATCATAGGGAGGCATCTTTCTTCACATCCAATCAATTGATTTCCTTTTAGAGATATTCAATAATTTATAAGCAGTCAATTGAATTAAGACCACACAACAAAAGCAAAACTTGTACAGTAAAATTCCCAATGTCAACTAGCCTTCCACACTCGTCTATAAAATCCCATCTTCTCCCTAACCATCCACACACTTTCCCCTCGTTGATACAGCCATGAGGTTGCCAATAACAATCGTCTTCACACTCTCAGCCACAATTGCTGTCTTTGTTGCAACAAGTCTAGCTGACTTTGATGAAGAACCTCACATTCAAAGTGAACTACCACCTAGTGAAATCCAACAACAAACTTCATTACGAGGACCGCGCCGCTTCCTAGCTCAACAGAACCTGAAAGCCAATGTGACATGTGATAAGTTTCCTCGTACTTGTCATCTAAAGAACAGTAGTCCAGGACCAGATTGCTGCAAGAAGAAATGTGTTAATGTGAAGACGGATCGCTTGAACTGTGGGATGTGTGGGTACAAGTGCAAGTATACTGAAACATGCTGCAAAGGGCAATGTGTTAATGCGTTATTTGACAAAAGAAACTGCGGTGGGTGCAATAAGAAGTGCAAAAAGGGCGAATTCTGTGTTTATGGGATGTGCAATTATGCTTGACTTCTTCTTACATTCTTTTCTCTTTCAAATTTCATGGTACTGTTTCGATTGAATGAAATGTATTAGCACATTATAATTCTATTGATTAAGAAGCATAATACTGTAAATTTATGTGCATTAATGTTTCAGAAGGATTAGTGAGCCATAAAATTCCATCTTTCAAGTTTATTTTTAGTGGTTTATATAACCCATTTTGATCTAATGTAGTTTGATAGCTTTGGCTGTGATGCCCTGTTTGACTCTTGAATTTATGTGTAAAATATTACAAAACAAAGTCATAAAGTATTCTTCATTTATAATCTACCAAGTGAAAGGTGCATTCCCCTTGTAAACCATAAATGAACATTTTAACTTTTTTTTTTTTTATAGATAACTTATATATAAAGGTATATTTTATTGCATTCAAATTAATTAATTAAATTTATTTTGACTTTTCAACTTCTCTTGATTATTATTTCCTAAAAAAAAAAAGATTGATTTTAATCTACAAATTACTCAAGTGAAACCTCAGTTAATCTTTCCTTTTTAGCTTTTTAATTCCTTCTACATATAAGAGAAATGCTTTTATATGATATAGTTTTAGTAATTAACTACAAATTTTCATCTAGAAAGGGAATGTGATCAAATTTAAGGGAAATTTTCCCAAGACATTTTCTCAAACAGTGGGTTAAATTTTCAATTACAAATTACAAATTACAATATATATATATATATTTATACCACTACTTTGATTAAAAAGGGGTAGAAAACAATACCAGCGGCTGCACTTTAGAAAGAAAATTGGCACTTAATTTCTTTTCATATGATTCCTTATAATGAAAGATATAATCAATCCCTCATTGCAAGAGGGCCAAGCACTAGCCAAATATTGAGAATTTGAAAGTCAAAATAGTACATATCAAAAACCAGTATGTATATCTTAATCTAAAAAAAATTTAAGTGCCTCTTTAACTGATTCAAATCAGAGTACGGAAAGTCGATTTACTCTTCCAAATTGAACAGGGAAGTTTCTACTGCGGCTTCAATGAATCGAGAGATATATATATATATATATATATATAAAAAATATTTTCCGGGCAATTTTTTGTTCTCCTCCTCTTTCCAATTTTTGATCTTATATTTCAAATATGATTCTCAATCGTGTGCCTAACTTTCCATTTTGAGCCACAGACAATGACACCACTGCGGAAATTAAGTAATATAGTTATTCTTATACCCTTGTATATAGAGTTAATTTGCTGTCTATAAATAGTTCACCATTCCATTTCCTTGTCAAAAACTGAGGAGCCATCGAATCATCTCGGAAGAATTGGTCGTTTCCTGGCTGGTAGGTCCCGGCCGTCGCAAATGACTTGCGACCAGTACCCTACAGTTTGCCGCGCCAAGGGCAGTTCCGGTCCTGACTGTTGCAACAAGCAATGTGTTAATGTGATGACAGACAAACAAAACTGTGGAGAGTGTGGGAAGACGTGCAGATACTCCGAAATGTGCCGCCAAGGGAGATGCGTGAACCAATCTGTCGACGACTACCATTGTGGCCGCTGCAACAACCCCTGAAAGGAAGCTCGTGTTGGAAGAAATAAAGTTTCATAGAATTCTGAATGTATGAACAGGCAAGCCATCACATTGTTGTTTGATGAACTTATGTCGAAATTTATGTTAATACAACAATCCAAATTATCCAAATTGGCTAAAGGAACAGTATGGCTACCATTTTCCCATTTTACATAAAAAACACAGCTCTCGGATGGCCTCGGAAGTTCTGATAATTTCTGGCATTGCAGAAAGGGATTCATTGCAGCTACTTCATCCAATTCAAAAATTATCTTCTCTAAGAAACCAGCACTTTTAGAAAACAATTGCACAATCTCCAGCTAGGGATTATTTTCTGGATTTAAATTCGAAATTTGAATCACCTTCAGGCATCCACGGGAACAACTAGAACGCAGCTGTTCCAGCAGCAATTCATCATGATTTCCATAGTTGTAGGGTCGATGACACTCCATGTGTAAAGATTCGAGTTTTGGGTGCCATTTGGAACAGGTTATTCATGACTCCAACCTCATAACCTTGAAGGCAAAGCTTCAGGTGCTTAAGATTATTGAGCTTTGGCAGATGATCCGGAAAATTTGGCTCATAGTGTAAATACCGCCAAGAAAAAAAATTGATTTAATTGTTTATAAAACTACTGCTAGAAATGGAGATAGAGAGCATGAGAGAGAGATCAGGGGCAACCTACCTCAATGACTGACAATGGCAGGTTCAAAACCTTAGCATTGGAGAGAACAGTAATAAGATTCTGCAAAAGACGGTGAGAATTATCACCCATGCGGAAGACATTAGGGCAGTCAAACTGCGCATTGCGAAGGTTGGGCATAATCTCCTGATGATCATTGCCGTTTACAACCCCATGTTGAGAAAATGAAATATCAAACATAAAGTAGTATAACAGTAAATTTTCAAGATTATGGCATTTCGTCAGTTGATGAGTAAAGTTGTTGGCCAACATAAACCCATTCAAGTGCATGCTCTTCAAGTTAGGGAAGTCGAAGGATTCAGGGAATCTGTGCCCTTATAATGCTCCAAAATTTAGTTTCAATGTCACTAAGGAATTGCATGGAATTAAGCAGCTGAATGGTCTCTCGCAAAATCTTCCAAAGTGGAGATCGAGCTCTTCAAGACCATCCCTCAAAACAGCCCTAAACCATCTAGCAAACTCAGAAGCCCCGATTCTATCTCGGTATGAAAGTTGAAGCTTTTTAATAATCGGCTTGTCATGACCCCAGTCAAGCAGAACTTTATCCACGAATCTAATAAACTTTATAGTTCTAATTGACCGATTGGTATTTGATTCTTCTTCATGTCCAGTTGTATGATCATCGGTTAACACGTTGTCGTCAAAAGAAATGTAGGGATGTGAAATCCATAAATCTTTCCACCTCTTTGACAAAACACTAGTTCGAACAGCATCATTTATTGGAAGAAAGGAGATAATATGTTCAAGAAGTGGATCAAACAGATTAGTTATTCTATTAGGTTCCCCTTCCACCATGACCTGACATAATCAAACTTGCTAAATAAATTCTCCTAGTGAAAAAACCCAGGTAAAAAAAAAATATTACATGAATATTCCACATATTCACTAATATTGTACTTAATTACTAGGAAATTAAGACAAATGTTGGCCTATAATATAGGATCATTTAAATTAACAAGTGCATGAATGTATGCATGAACAAATACATTAATTGTAAGTATCCTATACAAAAAAATTAAAATTTAAAAGACAATCAAATGATTTCTAGTTTCAAGGAAATGACTTAACAATATTATTTTTAATTTGAAAATCAGACCATATATCCAAAGTTTTGTAAATAAGATAGTTAGATCTATATATGAAAATGTAATTAAAAGAGTTCTCACATGTATCTAAAATATAAATGTTCACATGCATATATAATGAAAGTCAAATTTATATATATACCGTCAATTTAATATACAAAGAAAGTCGTAGATATTTGTAGTGTTTTAATTATTAACTGATGATAAAAGAGTACGTTATATTAATTGTATATAGCCCAATGATTAAATGATTTAACAAAATTGGGAAAAAAAAAAGTAGTAAAAACTTCCGGAAGGAATTACTCACCAAACTTGTTGTTGTTGCAGTTTTGTTTTTGGCAACAGTACTTTAAGGATGCAATTTTGGCTGGAATCTTGAAAATAATTTAGTATTTATAGATTAAATTAATCTAATTGTGAAACGTTATGTTTATTTATCGATGAAACTTGAAAGATTATATTTATTCGCCTAAGTGTTGTTTTATGTAGGAATGAGTAAATGGTCGGTTCGATCAGTTCGGTTTGAAAAAATCAATAATTGATTTAATCGATTTTCATTTAACAAATAATCGAACCGACGAATATTATTAAATAATCGATCATAACCGAACCGACCAAAATCGGTTCGATTCGGTCGGTTCGGTTAAATAACCTATTTTTTTATCATTTTTTTATTATTAATAATTATTTAATCACAAATTCAATTCAACAAAATTTAAACTCTAGTATCATTCAAATTAAATTACTAAAGAATTTAATAATTTCAACAATATTTTACAAAAAAATAAAAATAAAAATATTTATTTCAATTTTTTTTATTTTTAATTATTAGAAAATCGATTAATTCGGTTAGTGCAATTATCAATTTTAAAAATAAAAAATCAACCGAATTAATTAATTTAATCGATTTAAAAAATCGATTATAACTAAAATTGAATGAATTGAATCAATTTAACCGAATTCACTCGATTTCGATCAATCTAATTGATTCAAACCAATTTTTGCTCACCTTTAATCTTACGAAAAGAAACATCTTTTGATAAATAGTTATATTTGTTCATCGATCAGATGTTGTTTTATGGAAAAAAAAATCTTTTGATAAAAAATATTATCTGTTCATCAAGTGTCGTTTTATGAAAAGATATAAATGTTTTTATCTTTTTACCCATTTTTACCGCTTGAAGTGAAAAAAATATATAACGCTTGTTTTAATCAAATGTATAAAATAACTTTTCTACATAACCCATTTTGATTGATTTAATCCTTTTTTATTCTTTAATAATTTATCTAATCGAGGTTTCAATTTGAAAGTTCAAGAATCAATCTTAAAAGAAACAAAATGCTATTTATAAATGAATTATATTTTTTTTATTACATAATGAAAAAATCTCACATATAAAATAATTAATATTAAAAACAAGCAATCAATAATACAAAATTTTATTCTTTGATTTGGGCTAAAAGCGAAAAAGGAATCATGCAAATGTTTATGCACATGATTCAAATCACAGCATAGAATTTTAGTTGAGTGCTTATGTAACGGTTTTGAAAGTTAAGTGTCACGGTTTTAGGAAAGAATTATGAATTTTATATCGATTGTGTATTAAAATTAATCTTAAGATATAAATATTCATATATTTTTTTTATGAGATATTTTTTATGATATAAAACTGTTAGATCAGAGAAATTAAAATGAATAATATCTCATAAAAATATGAATCGTTACAAGTAAATTAATTTAAGATATTAGAGAAATATATGCTCGGATCCTAAAACTGCACGAACCTAAAAATTAACTCTTGACTCATGACACTAAACTTGATATTTTGGGTTTCTTGAAATATTTGAACAAAACTATTTTATGATCTCGTCTAAGGAAGCTGTTGCATATTACTGCATCGTTCACCCTTCTCCTTTCAACCTGCTTCCTTATTACTATAATCATATTTTGGCTGCTAATAACGACATTTTTGTTTTTATTTTTACTTTTTAATAAAAAAAAGAGTTCATTGCCTCTATTGATTTTAGCTGTTTAGACATGCAAATATCTTTTTTAAGTAATTTTTTTTGAAGTTCTTAATTTATCTTCAAACTTTTTTACTTTACTACATATTTGGTTGAAGATGATATTATGCGTCTAAATTATTTCGAATTCATAACTTTTAAGTATCAACTCAAATAACATATCAATTGATTCAAAAGATAATCAACTTTTTTAAATAAATTAAGTGTATATTTTATTGTGAAATTATATACTATTTTCCATTATCATAAAGTCGTACCATACTTGGATGGAAATATCAATTTAAAAAAAATAATTTGATAATTTGTCAAATTCAAGAATACCATATATACAAAAATAAATACCAAATTAAATTTGCAACAACTAGTTGAACTTCAAAAAAAAAAAAAAACTTTGCAGATTCTAATTGTCAAACCGTGCAATGGCTAGGAAATTGATAATATGATAGAAAATTAGATGAGAATGAACTAATTTTGGGTATAAATTTTCTTGGGACGCCTAACTTCGTTTACTTGAATGTTTTATACACCCGTTGAATTGGAGCATCCCACTAAGGACAGTAACGGCCAAAACGAACCCATGCAGCAGCAGCAGCAACAGCAATTCAACTTTATAACGAACTCCTTTAGCTTTTGTATGTCAGCCTCCAATCTTGTCTATAAATACCTCTACATGGCTCCATTCTTTCTCCACACCACACCCAATTATCCACATTAAGCATTTTTCATTATATTGTTTTCCTTCCCCCCCACCACAAACTCTCAAACATGAAAATCCTCAAGATTTTCCTAATGTTTGCCTTGTTCATGTCCTTGGCCATCACTCTCTCCGCCACACCATCTAAAGAAGGATCAATCATTGAGAATGATGGTGATGATGATAACAATGATCATAGCCAAGAACCAGCTTCTCTCCGAGGAATCACCAGCAATTTTCTTGCACAGAAACTTCGAGCCTTGATGACATGTGATAAATACCCTAGAGTCTGTCGTGCCGTGGGCAGTCCAGGGCCTGATTGCTGCAAGAAAATTGTGTGAATGTGACGACAGACAAGCTCAATAGCGGAATGTGTGGTAAGAAGTGCAAGTACTGAGAGATTTGCTGCAACGGGCAGTGTGTGAACCCAATGTCTCACAAAAAGCACTGTAGGGGTTGCAACAATAAGTGCAACAAAGGAAGTAAATGTTTGTATGGGATGTGCAGCTATGCATAGAAACTTCGCCACACCTCTTTTAGATATTGATCAAATGATCAACTACCATATGTTTATGCCATAATCGTCATTTCATTTACTATAAATAAAAGCGAGCCATGCATCACAATTTGGTGGGTTTTGCCAGATGTAGATTTTTTAATTTAATTATTAATTGTTTCAATGATTGATCATGTAACTATTTGAAGATATATGATATATGTAAAATGTCTTAAATACAATATATATTCTTTGTTCAGTTTTTAAATTTAAGTAGTAATTATCTATGGTTATATATTTAGATATAGTTTTAATTAATAAGAGATATGTACTTTCATATGGAATAAATCTTACGTAATATTTGGATAAATATTAATAAAAGAAAGGAAATAAAAAGAATTAAAGAAAAGTAAAAGAAAGTTTTTTTTTTTTTTTTTAAAAAGGATATATATACCATTTATTTGAATAATTAAAATTAATGAAAAAAAACAAAGGAAATGAATTCTAACAACCATTATTTGGATAAAAAGTGAAAAAGAAAAGAAATGATTCATTATAATAATTTTTTGCAATTATAACATTTCATTGCTTGTAATTTTAGAGTACTTCTAGATTATGATATATTTGCTATATTGTTTGGTCTTACAATTACTGTTATATCAGTAATTTTTATATTGAAAGAGATATGAAACTTACTTGAAAAAACAGATGATTTTGAAAAAATTATAAGAAGATTGTGATGTGATTAGGTTTTCTTAACTAAGTTTTTAGTATTAATAAAAATATGAATATAATAATCTTTTTATAAAAATAAAATTTTTTCAACTTTCCTTTCTTTTAAATTAAAAATTTATCCAAATAACAGAATTATTTTTTTTGTTTCCATTACTTTTCTTTAATTTCCTTTCCTTTCCTTCCCTTCCCTTCAATCCAAACATAATGTTAATGAGTTCAATTAATTAATTAGTCTATAGATAGAATAATATTATTAAATATACCAATGGTTTAATTAATTATATGTTTCTAAATTTAACATTTCCGACATTAATGTAATTAATTTAACTCAATCAAAATGTAAACTTGATCTTCACCAAGTTAATACTAAAATATTACATAACAATAAATTTTGGAACAATTTTTGCGAGAAAGTAAGCAACAAATAGAGAGAACAGTCAAGAAAAATTGTTTTTCAAGGAATATGTAGTATGTATTGAGCTGTCAAGTAGTAAGCGTAGACAGAGATGATCTTGATATCCAAAAGTAAAATATTTAGATTTTTTTTATACATTTGAAGGTGTCAGAAATAAAATTCAAATTATTAAAATTAAAAATTTAATAATTTATTAAATCACGTGACTGTTGAAATATCAAAATTAATTTACTACAATGATTCAATAAATAGTACATAATTTCATGCTGTGGAAACTTAAAATTTTACTGTAATTAAACATAGTAATAATTTCATGTTAAGCTTTTCCCTTGTTATTAAAATTCTCTAGTTTATATTATTATTTCCCCGTATCTAGAAACTGAGAAAAAAATATTGGCATTGGAAAAGTCAACGAACCTAAGCTCGTGCAGCGATGTTTTGTATAGCAAGGAAATCTTATGAATTAACAAAAACTAAAAATTATTTTGACCATGAATCGTGTATCCCACCTACTCAATTCTCCTATCAGATTGTTTACTTGAATTCTCTAGGCCCCACGTCTCAAATTCACGACCCAATTAAGCCATGGCTTCCCTTAGCTCTCTCGCATTGCTTTCATTTCTTTTCTCAAATTTTGCTTCTACCCCTCAAGTTTATTCACTAGAGGGTTACTCCTCCAAACCATATGTCCCCAGCATTGCCCCTGAGAAGGTTATGAATGTGATAGATTCTTGCTGGCGAACCAACTCCAATTTGGCTACCAATCGCAAAGCCTTGGCTGATTGTTCGGTAGGCTTTGGCAAAGCAGCAATGGGAGGGAAATATGGAGCAATATATGTAGTTACAAATAGGGGTGTAAATGATACATTAGTACTCGTAAGCTACTCGGGTTCGATTCGAAAAAAACTCGAATTCGGTTCGATTATTGTCGAGTCGAGCTTGAGTAGCTCGACTTATCGATCGAGCCGAATTCGAGTATTCTTATATCTGACTCGATTAGCTCGCGAGCCTAATCGAGTTTTTATATTTAAATATATTTTTATTATTTTAATTAATAAAATATTTCGAGTCCGAGTTCGAGTTCGAGTTCGAGCATGAATAATCGAACTCTTGTCGAGTATACGAATCGAGCTTATTTTTACATATTAATCGAGCTTAATCGAGCGAGCTCGAGTAGCTCGAATTCGATCACGAATCGAGCTCGAGCTTGAAAAATAAAACTCGATCGAGCTCGAGCTGAGTATTGAGCCCCGAGTTGTGAGTTGAGCTCGAGCTCGAGCTTCTCACTATTCGACTCGGCTCGGCTCGTTTACAGCCCTAGTTACAAACCCTTATGGTGATCCTGTCAACCTAAACCCGACACGCTTCGTTATGGTGTTATTCAATCAAGTCCTCTTTGGATCATTTTTGCCAGAGATATGGTTATCACGCTAAAAAATGAACTGATAGTGAATAGTTTTAAGACTATAGATGGCAGGGGAGCTAAAGTGGAAATTGCATATGGACCATGCATTACAATTCAAGGTGTTGCCAATGTTATTATACATGGGATTAGCATTCATGATTGCAAGCCAGGAAAGGTCGGTCTGGTTAGGAGCTCCCCGACGCATGTAGGGAAACGTGAAGGCAACGATGGAGATGCAATCGGCATTTTTGCATCTTCTAACATTTGGATTGATCATTGCTATCTCGTGCGTTGTAGGGATGGCCTGATTGATGTGATTCATGCTTCGACCGCTATCACAATCTCTAATAATTATTTCGTTCAACATGATAAAGTCAGCATTACAATTTTGAATATTTCATTGTGTTGATCTATGAAGGATTTAGAGCAGAGGAAGAACAAAAAAAACAGAAGAAACTAATCTGTCACTTGAAATAAATTGGCTCTACAGATCATGAGCTCAATTTCATTAATATATAGGCTTTAAACATACAAAAGTTTTGTTTAACTACTACAAGAGTTGTTTGCTTAACAGTATGGATCACCATGCACAGATCCATCATGTTACCTAAACTGATCATATGGCAGAACCTATTACAAAAGTGCCAGTAGAAATGCCATACCTAGTTGCTTCAACCACTAACACACTAACACTCCTCCTTGGCATTTCTGCTGGAAACACCAAGACTTTTCCTCAATGTTTCAAACCTTGCCTTTGGTAAGGCTTTGGTCAGAATATCTGCAATTTGATCTTCTGACTTACAATGCACTAGTTTCACTTCATTCTCAGCTTCAACTTCTCTAATAAAGTGATACTTGATCTTAATATGCTTAGTTCTTCTATGAAACACAGGGTTCTTAACCATTGCAATTAATGATTGATTATCACAAAAAATTTCTGTTGGATCATCTTGCTTTTGACTCAAATTCATCAAAATTTTCCTTAGCCAAATTACTTGATTAACAGCAGCTGCAGCAGCTATATACTCTGTTTTTGCTGTTGATTGAGCCACAGTTTCTTGTTTCTTTAAATTCCAGCTGAACACATTTAATCCAATGAAAAACACATAGCTTGAGGTGCTTTTCATGTCTTCATGAGAGCCAGCCCAGTCACTGTCTGTGAATCCAACCAATCTTGAACTTTCATTTTTCTTGAACCAAATTCCAAGTTCACTAGTTCCTTTGACATATCTCAACACTCTTTTTGTAGCCTTAAAATGTAACTCACTAGGATTTTGCATGAACCTAGAGAGTAAATTTGCAGCATACATGATGTCTGGCCTTGTTGCTGTCAAATACAATAAGCAACCAACCAAGCTTCTATAAATAGAACCATCAACTTTGTTAGCTCCATCTTCCTTAATAAGTTTCTCATTTTGAGCCAAAGGAGTGTTGACTGGTTTGCAATTTTCCATCCCAAACTTATTCAAGATTTCATTTGCATATTTTCTTTGACAAATGAAGATTCCTTGCTGGTCTTGATAAATCTCCATTCCAAGAAAGTAAGACATTTTTTTCATATCTGTCATCTCAAAAATTTCTTGCATTTGAAGCTTAAAATCTTCCACAAGAGTAGATTTGCTACCTGTCACCAAAAGATCATCAACATACAAAGAAACAATCAACAGATCATTACTGTTAAAAACTTTAATGTACAATGTTGCTTCACTGAGGCTTTTCTTGAATCCTAACTTCAGTAAATGATCATCAATTCTGAAATTTCACACTCTTGGAGCTTATTTTAATCCATACAAAGCCTTTTTTGAGTAGATAGACTTTGCCTTCATGTCCCTTGGTAACAAAACCATCAGGTTGTTCAATGTAAATCTCCTCCTCAAGATAACCATTCAAGAATGCAGATTTGACATCAAGTTGGTATATTTTCCAACTTTGCTGAGTTGCTAAGGCTAATAGCAGCCTTATGGTGTCCAACCTTGCAACTGGAGCAAATGTTTTAAAAAATCAACACCAAGCTGCTGGGAATAGCCTTTAGCTACCAATCTAGCTTTAAGTTTGTTGATGGAACCATTAGCATTCAACTTTGTTCTGAAAATCCATTTAACACCAATGATGTTTTTGTTGCTTGGTCTGTCAACCAGCATCCATGTTTGATTTTTCTCAATCATTTGAATCTCCTCCTTCATGGCATTCTTCCACTCTGAAAATTTGACAGCTTCTTCAAAGCTTGCAGGTTCAAGAATGGCAACATTTGATCTTTGATAAATATCTGTGAGTGGTCTGATTCCTCTCACTGGTTCATGATCAATGATTTCATTTTCAAACATATAATCTTCTTGATCTTGAAAACTTATCATGTCTGCAGTAGTTTGCTTGACTGATTCTCCCTTTGACTTTTCTCAATTCCAGGCAGCTTGCTCATTAAATCTCACATTTTTACTTATAATCATCTTGCCTGTAAGTGGATTGTAAGTCCTATAGCCTTTGGTGATGTTGCTATAGCCTAGAAAAATACATATTTCTATTTTTTGATCAAGCTTGTCCCTTTTGATATCAGGAACGAACACATAACAGATGCTGCCAAAAACTCTGAGGTGGTGCACTGATGGTTTGCTTCCATACCAGGCTTCGAAAGGAGTGTTTCCCTTCAAAGATTTTGTGGGCAGCCTGTTGAGCAAGTAGACAGAGGTATTGACTGCCTCTGCCCAAAATTTCTTTGAAAGATTCTTCTCAAACAGCATGCATCTTGCCATCTCCATGATTGTTCTATTCTTTCTTTCACTGACTCCATTTTGTTGTGGAGTGTAAGTTGCTGTCAGTTGGTGTTCAATTCTTGCAACTTCACAAAACTCATTAAATCTGTTAGATGTGTATTCAGTACCATTGTCTGACCTTATGATCTTGATTTTGTAGCCACTTTGATTCTCAATCCAAGCCTTGAACTTTCAGAATACATTTGTAACTTCAGACTTTTGTTTCATGAAGTAAATCCAACACATTCTGGTAAAATCATCTATAAAAGCAATGAAATATCTACTGCCATTCAAGGACAAGGTTCTCATAGGACCACAAACATCAGTATGAACAAGTTGTAGTTTTTCAATTGCCCTCCATGCTTTGTTAATTGCAAATGGCAACTTACTTTATTTTCCTAGCTGACAGACTTTACACACTCCAGCACTGACTTCAACAGTAGGCATGTTTAATACAAGATCATTTTTATGCATGAAATTCAATGCATTGTAGTTGAAATGTCCCATCCTTTTATGCCATAAAGAAGATTCATCATGTGAAGTAGCATATGCAGAGGAATTTGCTTCATGCCAATTCAAGGAAAAATATTTTCCTTTCATATTAACAGTAAAGAGTTCATGGCCAGTGGGATCATGAATTATGCATGCCTTGTCTTTGAAAACTAAAGAGTAGTTATTTTCTAGCAACTGTCTTACACTTAACAGGTTTTGATCTATTTTAGGCATAAATAACACATCTGAAATGAGTTTGGTACATGTTGGTGTCTCAACTGTCACTACTCATTTTCCTTTGACTTCTATGAAATCACCATTACCTATTCTGACTTTAAAGGTACAGGTCTTGTCTAGTTCTTTGAACATGTTGATATCATATGCCATATGGTGTGTGCAGCCACTGTCAATGAGCCATGCACTTGAGGAGGTTCTGGTTCCATAGCAAGTTGCAACAAAAACTTACTCTTCTAGCTGTTGTTGATTGTCAGCAACTCTGGCTTGTTGATCTGGCTGCTGCTATTTTTTATTTTTACATACCTTTTTTATGTGACCAAACTGCTTACAGTACCTACATTGTATGTCAGGTCTGTACCAGTAATATTTCTCCAAGTGAGTAGTCTTTTTGCAGTGAGAGCAAGGTGAGAACTTTCTTTTCTTTTCATTGTTTTTAGAACCTTTGTTTTTTTGATCTCCTTGTTTTCTGCCTTTGCTTTCTGTTTGCATCTTGCCTTTTTCTTTGGCTGTAAAAGCACCTTTTGTTGAATCCTCTTGTCTGATAGCCCTTCTTTGCTCTTGAGCTTGTAAAGCGTTGAACAATTCTGCTGGAGTTATCTTGGTCAGGTCCTTGGAGTCTTCAAGGGATGGGATTTTTGACTCAAACCTCTCTAGTAAGCTGACAAGAACCTTCTCTACAATTCTTTTGCCTGACAGCTCCTCACCAAGTAATCTAATCTTGTTTACTATCTTCATGAGTCTGTCATTGTACTGCTTTAAATTTTTAGACTCCTTCATCTTTAAGACTTCAAACTCTCTTCTAAGATTCAACACTTGCATTTGTCTTGTCTTGTCACTGCCTTGAAACTCTTTCATAAGCACATCCCAAGCTTGTTTTGCAGTTTCACAAGTCATGATTCTAATGAATATGTCATCAAAAATTGAAGACTCTATATAGCTTTTAGCCTTGTACCTCTTTGCTTTTTCTTCACTATAATTTTTCATTTGAGTTACTGTTAGATTTGCAGGAAGTCGTGGTGGTCCTTCTCATTTTCCACCACTTCCCATAAATCAAAAGCACTCAAATAAGTCTTTATTTTGACAGCCCATATCTGGTAGTTCTCACCAGAAAAAATAGGAGGTGGAGGTATGGAGCAATTGCTTGAGGCCATTTAAGGTTGACAAAAGCTGGCTGGTAAGTGTTTGATGGCTTTTCATTCAATTTTTTGGAACTCACAGGTCCTCTAAGACCTTAAAGAATGCTCTGATACCAATTGAAGGATTTAGAGCAGAGGAAGAACAAAAAAAATAGAAGAAACTAATCTGTCACTTGAAGTAAATTGGCTCTACAGATCATGAGCTTCATTTCATTAATATATAGGCTTTAAACATACAAAAGTTTGTTTAACTACTACAAGAGTTGTTTGCCTAACAGTATGGATCACCATGCACAGATCCATCATGTTACCTAAACTGATCATATGGCAGAACCTATTACAAAAGTGCCAGTAGAAATGCCATACCTAGTTGCTTCAACCACTAACACACTAACAATCTAATTGACATGCTATAGCCTTTCTCATCATATCCCATTGCAGGTGATGTTGTTAGGACACAACGACCAATTCACTGCAGACAAAGTTATGAAAGTAACAGTAGTTTTTAACCGTTTTGGTGAGGGACTTATTGAGAGGATGCCAAGGTAAAGGTGACAGCGAAAGCTGGTGTTAATTAGTTTCTAACCATATATATTTGTGGTAAATTGATCTCTATTACTCATATAAATTGGAGTCCATGGCAGGGTCAGGATGGGCTACGCCCATGTTGCCAACAACAGATATGATGAATGGAAGATGTATGCAATTGGTGGCAGCGCTAATCCAACCATTTTCAGCGAAGGAAACTACTTCATAGCTCCTGATAATCCTGCTTCCAAGCAGGTTACCAAGAGAGAAGCAAGTAATTGGCAAAAATGGATATGGCAGAGTTCAAAGGATGTTTTCATGAATGGGGCTTATTTTGTTCCATCTGGCTATGGAAGTTGTGCTCCTCTTTACTCTGGAGCTCAATCTTTCACGGCTGCTCCAGGATACATGATTCCTGCTTTAACATCTGATGCTGGTCCTTTATCCTATCTTGTTGGCAAACAATGCTAAAAGCTTTAAACTTATTATATCCCTCCTGTTGTCATCCACTTTAATTTCTTTCTTTCTTTCTCGATACTATCTCCGTTTTCTTCTCCTTTTTTTTTTTTTCTCTGTTAGTTGGTTTCTCTCCTTTGATTTACCTTTGTAATTGTGTTTTTAATCGTTCAGTTAAAAGAACCAAATAAAGAAAGTTGGATGTGCTTAGTTAGGAAAATATGGCAGCAAAATCACAGGAGTGAATTCTTCAGCTCTCTCAAATTTCTGTTACTATAAACAAAAAAAGACAGCACAAAACAAACCATTAAGGAGGCTTCCCCTACAGTTGAAAATGATTACCAAAATAAGAAAAGAATAAAGGTGCGATTTCTTTTACTTTGCTCACACTCACACTTCTTCAGAAAAGCCTATTCTCATTGCTTTGAACCCCACATGTTACAGTTGCTTTAGCTCTCACTTTCTTCAAGAACCAAATACCGACCCCAATTCCTATGGCTCCAGCAGCTGAAACTGCAGCTATTGTCCCTGCAATAATAACAAAAAATCATCAAAGGCCTAATCTTTGTATTTTGACATTCAAAGTTCATCACCTAGATCATAGTAATTTTATCTTTTTAATTAATTTCCTTCATTAGCGGTATTTTAATACAAAATGCTGAACCGGATTATAGAAATTTCACCTGCAATGACTGCAGCCTTTCTGTGCCCAGAAATGTCAAGATCTGCAGGACAGATAAAACCCAAATTAGTAAGGGGATTATGAATGATTGACATATCAGAAAATTTCATGGCAAGACATTCCAATCAAAGCTAAAGTGCCTTGCCAAGAGAAAAAAAAAAGAACAATTACCTGAGTAATTAACAGAGAAAAAGCTCTAGGGTGATATGAATCTTACTTCTAATAAATCCAAGAATGTCCGTACCAGCCCTTAAAACATACCTTTACAATAGGAGGTGATATTTCCCTCCTTACACAGACACAAGAAATTCTGTGATTGAGTATCAAATCCACATGTTCCGGCTCCCTTGGATGGATCCTGACATTGAAGGCAGTGTGTAGTCACTGGAACATCAAAATCAACCCGAATTCCATATTCAGGTACCTGGTTATAAGGAGAATCAGTAGTTGTACCAATAGTTCTCCAATACACACTTGTATAAGAAGCGCAATACTTCAGCATCAGCCTTAAGGACTCTGTTGCTTTGGGATAGTAAGAGCAGCAAGAGCTACCACCTAGTGCAGTGGCACATTCAGGTAAATGCCTGCAGAGATAACTAGCACTATCGCACGATGAATCACACCGATCAGGGAATCTCTCACAGAAGATAGGCTTTGGCTCAACAATCACATAATCCTCGCTGCAGTTGAAGAAGAGGTAGTCATTTTGAGGAGACAGTGAGAAATGTGTGCTTGTGTCTAGGCTAAAAGGCCTAGTTGGACGAAAGTAATAACCATCTTCACAATTCCACATAAGTGGATCGGTAACAAGAATATGTGGATCCGAGTAACTAATGCTGCTTACAGGGTATCTACCAGAGGGTGTACGAAGCTCAAGCTTGCCAGGGTCGGAGCAAGCAAGCATGTGCCTGTAATAAGGGCTGCCGCAGCCATCATCAATCCCCAAAGGGTAATTTATTGGGATATCACCACAAGTGGTTCTACAAAGGCTTGCTTGAGCTTTTGTGAGGCTAAGAAATGGAAAGATGAATAGAATGATTAGGGAACACAAACAGAGAAGTGAAGAAATCTTATGTTGTGATATAGTAGGTTTGTAGGTGAAGATGAGAGAATCCATGAGAGTTATGGAGGAAGGTTATTTTAGCTAATTCTCAAGTGGGATTTATATTGTTTTAAGGTCAAGCAATCATCAGATGAAATAAAAGTGACCAAGTCTTAAATGAGAGAAAAAGAATCTGTCAAACTAATATTGTTTCTTTTATAGTCTTTCTCTTTTTTCTTTTCTTTTTTTTTCTTTTGTATATCCTGACATATACTTTGCTTTTGTGATTTATGGGTTTAAGAAGGTTTGAGGAGATCATACTAAAACTGTGATGATTGATGAGCATGTGAATTCCATAAAAGCAGACTGCGCAATGTTTGATTCTAACATCACTTTAATTTGGAATGGAGCCATAATTCTAACAGTACTCTGATTACTGTCTGTCTTCTTTTTCTTTTTTTGGATGGACTGATTACTTTCTCGTTGATCTTTTAGTTTTTGAGCATCTGATTTCACTTCCTCGGTAACATATTCAAGTAGTATGTAAGAGTTGGTATCTCAATGTCATGTCCAAAGCTAAGTCCAGCTCCAGCCTCAATAGGCGCCCACTTCTTGGAAACTGCTCGTATTTTGGGCTGAAGCCTACCTTCATAGTCAGTAATGGGACCCGAAGAGCTAACACTGGGCCTTAGGATACGTCTTATTATTCAAGAGGTCTATCTGGTACCATTAGAATGGGCCCTTTCCTCGTCAGTGAACAACCTCGTTGAAATGGCGATGAAACGCATATATCCCTAGCTAAGTACATTTTCTCTCTTCCTTCTCTCTTTATTCATGAATCATGACCTGCTTAGGGAGGTAGGCCTCGTCCTTCTTTCGGTAACTCTTCGTTTTTTACTTTTTTGGCAGCCGACCGAATGTTCGGTGGATTTTGCTATTTCCGCTTAAATTTGTTCAAGAAATAATTGTATTTGTTGTTTTATTTATGGTTTGAGTTTTCAGAATGACGCAAGTGAATACGAAGCAGCCATATATTTAACAAGGAAATTATTAAAGAAGTCTTAATTACAACCTTTCCACTGACACCTGCTAAATGAATCGTGCATATCTTCATTCATAGAAAACAATGGCGCTGGAAAATTTTACTTGACAAAAATGACAGGAAAAAGAAAGGAAGAAATTAATGACCAAAAATATATAAATGTCGTTTTCTAGATGTTATTAAGTCTAACACTCAACATGGTGCCTTGAAATTAATGATACCATGTGATACCTGCCTTAATTTATCTTTAAATTTAATTTAAATACACTTGAAATCTAATACTATTTTTTCTTCCTTACCTTTGTTTTTACCATTCGAAATTCATGCACGCGGATGCAAACTTCATTACTTGTTTGAAAAACGAGAGCAGCAAACATCATGTGACAATGATAAATTGGTAATCATCCCATGACTAATTGAAAGAATAGCAAAAATGACACCATGCTAGCTACTTAGCTAGGCGGCTTGAATTCATGCCCATCCTCGCCATTCAACACTCAGATTCTCACATTCTTTCTTCTTGCTGATAGTAATTCATTTCCATAAAAAAGATTACAATAAGTACCAATCAATGCTTGATTATTCAATTAATTCATATTCAAATGATAAACATTTGAAAATATTTATACAAAACCCTCAAAAATTATATGATAAATTTATACAAAAAAGAAATTTCTCAATTAACAAAAAATTAATTGATCAATTAAATTCATTGTTTCAACTTACTTGATACGGGACACAAATTTTATTGATCCAATCTCGAATGCATTACTCATGTAGAATACAATATTAAATCTGGTTTTGAAACGAGAAACTTAACAATTTTTTATCTCTAAATTTTATATAAAAAAGAAGAAGTTTCTCGTTTTCAATTACAGCATTCATGCATATGCATGCATAAGTGATACTTGTACGGTAGATGAGGTACGGTGCGACCCACATAGTTCCAAGTTGGGGTTCCCCCTCCCTCCGTAGTCACATGATTGGATGTTCGATTAGCATGGAGGATGAGGGACCATGTCAATCAAAGTGGATGCATGGAAAGTCGACAAGGGTCTCTGAGTTGTCCAATAAAATAATTTTACCTCATCAAAATCCAACATCTACTTCATTGAACGAATTTGACCTAAACACAAAGAAAAACCAATCTCGTCCATTTTTTTTTTCGTTTTCTTTTCGTCTCATTCAATACACAAGCAGTTGCCTGCAAATCTCATTCTAAAGTCCACTTTCTCAGTTCTCAGCTTCTTCTTAATTACGTGTCCAATGGGTGGCAGCGTGTTTTCTTGACTGTTTGGAACAGAATATTCCACGCTGACAAGAAATTATATATGCTCATGTTTTTGTGTATTTACTTGAAAATTCGAATCGAATTCTTCAAAATGATACAAAAATAAGAAAGAATGAAGTTTGTGTACGTTTTCTAACCCTCCAACAACAAAGTACAAAAAATATAAACATTTAATCTCCTTTTCATTCCCCAATTAAAGAACTTCGGAAAAATTAATAAAAAGGAAAAGAAAAAAAACAGCTGATCTATTGTCTGCTGTTTGTGGTGTTGGCATTGCTGTTGTTGTTGGAATTGGGAGTGTTTCTGCTACTATTTGGATGAGCACCACCAATGATGGAGGTGATGGCGGCTGCGAGCGCGGCTGTGAAGCTGGGATCATTGGTGATGGTTGTCGTGGAAGCACTTAATGTGTCAGCCAGCGTGGGCTGCGGAGGCTGCTGCAATTGTGGATGTGGAACTCGGTGGCCTAATTGTGGCGATCCCATGTCATGAGACAACTGTAGGCCTGAGAATTTTGACTGATTATACAGTGCTTGACTAAAAACTGGAGTGGCTGATATTGACGCTAAGTTTTGGGGTTGGCCTGGAAAAAGGACTTGGAATTGGTTAGGTGTTCTTTGGAATTGTAGAGGGTTTGGTGATTGAGTAAGGTCCAATGTTACAGTTGGGAATGGAGCAGAAGCTGAAATCGTTGCCATGTTCGAAGAGCATGGAAGGATTGCTCTAGCTAGCAAATTTGGGTTCATGATCCCATCTGCACTAGGCATTGACCCTAAAAGCAACATGTTAGCCGCAGCTGCTGTTGTTGATGCCATTGCCATGGCAGTAGGAGGAAGTGGGTGATTGTGGTTGCCCTCATAAGTTGTTATCAAGATTGTTCTATCTTCCGCGCAACGTTGAACCTGAAAATTACCATAAGTATTAATTAATTTCGGGTCTTAAAATGTAAACAAGTTCAAAATAAGACATCATTAAAAAAAAATATTGAAACATACTTGCTTTCGGACAGGACAACCAATTGCCATGGTGCATCGGTAATACGCTCGAGGACAGGGGTTTCCTTTTGCCATCTTTTGTCCATATTTTCTCCATTGGCATCCATCAGTGATCTGTGTCAATTTACTAATCAATTAGTTTCCTTACAATTTGATAATAACATCAGATCAAATCTTCCCAAATGATTAGAGCAGTAACAAACCATGGGAGCTTCTGATCGAGCTCGCACAGAAACCCGAGCTTTCCTCATGATGGCCTCAGAGGATTGATCAATTGGTTTTGCAGGATTTAGCTTTTGGACTTTGTTAGGATCCCAGTCCTCAAATTCCGAACTTTCTTCTCTACTAATTCTTCTACTGTCTCGAAAACTAGAATTCTCCTGATTAAACTGAGAAATCTCATTTTTTCTTTTTATAGGCGATCCTGAACGCGTTCTTTCTTCTGAAGAATGAGACATCTCACTCGTTTCAGCTGTGCTTGATGGGACTAGACCCATAAATTGTATAGGCAATATCATCTCATGTTTCTTCACCTTAGAATTTCCTTCTTGAGTCTGAACCCATCAAAAATATTTAAGTCAGCAATTTGAATCAACGATATACCAATATCTATGATTACAAGAAATACTAAAATATATGAAAAATAATAATTACCTCATGCTCTTGTATGTTTTCAGCTCCTCGATTTCTTTGTTGTTGCGTTGAGGTCATAAGGTGCATCTGGAGGGCACTGTAATTATTGCTGACATGACTAAGCATGTCTCTTAACTTCTGATTCTCAACTTTTTTACGTTTCAACTCTATTTGTAATTGTGCCAGCTAAAATAATAAAATGAATTCATTCAGTGGGCAAAGATTTTTTCTAACTGTTGGATAGAACCAAAATGTAAAAAGCAAAAGACTTTTAGTATTCATGACTGTCACCTCCTCTTACCTCATTCTTTGTTCGCTTGTCTTTCATATTCTTGGCTCGCTTGTCTTTCATAGCCGATGATAACCCATCATCAACGGTTGATTGATCACTTCTAGCATTAGCAGTGAGAAGATGCAACCCAATCTATATATATATTTAGAACAAAAAAAACAAATATCAACAATAATTCAGTGTAACTAAAAATAATTTAAAGGAAAATGGCTTGAGAGAAAAAAAAATAACGTTAACTTATATTTACATCCAAATCAGAAGCAGAACCGCCTTCACCATAAGAAGTCTCCTTGACGTTGACAGCAGTGGTCTTGTTATGCTCACGATCATCAACAATCCTGTGTTTTTTATCAGAGAAAAAGTCGACCTCGTGAACCGCCAAACAGTTCTCATCAGAGGGAGAGGAGGTTCCGTGGTGGTCCTCGCTGGAGCCAGCAAGGCTAACAGGGAAATGAAACATGTCAGCTGGCTGCTTTAGCCTGAAGAAAGGTCCAGTGGTGGAACTAGTTTTGCTGGGGAAGAAATTAGTTACAGGATCAGAATCAAGGGTAAGCCCCCATCCTTTGTCCATAAATAAATCAAGAACTGTAAGTAGGAGACGAAAGAAAGAAAGGGAAAGAGAGAAAGCTCGGAAGAAGAGACCAGAGATGGAAGTTGTAAGAGGAGATTGAGAATGTTTGTAACATGTGTTGTGAAGTGTGTGAAGTCTTTTACCGGTGCAATGGGGTCGCCTAATAAAAGGGTTTGGAACGTAGACCAGATAGATTTATTAATACTGTGGATTTTTCATAACTTGATGGAACTTGATATTGCTACGTCAGATGGTGCGTCAGGTTGCCAACTGGCACTTGACTTCACTTCACCCCCGCTCCCTTGTAGAGGAGCTCCAAGCCAAGTCAACTAATTTGACGGCCCGACTCTCTTATGACCGGTGACCAGGTGGGGGCAGCGCCTTTGTCTCTCCTTGGCTCCACATAGCATCACTCTCCCACGTTTAGATCTAATATCTTTGACTATAGCCATTATAATCCATGAGTTAAAACATCAATTAAAACTTTGAAAACTGCCAAACCATGAAATGTAGACGCAAAAGAAGAAAAAAAAAAAGACAAAGGACAAAATGGTGGCTGCAGAATCCAATATATTTGCATATATACATTGCATGAAGATTACGTGCATGGTTTGGTTTACTGATTAAGTTGCCTTTCTGTTTCTCACTAGCATATAATTTTTTTTTTCACATATATTCTTACAGCTTTCTCTTATTTTAAATGTGAATAGCCCATTTTTTCAACATCTAGTGACAACTTTATTGCTTTTTCTACTTTAGTTTTTCATTATGGTTCCTTTTGAAAATTGATGTTGAATGACTTGAATCGTATTCCAACATTTACATATGGAAAAAAAAAAATTAAAGAGCTTTCTTTATCGTGACTCGTCTGAGGCTTCTTTCAAATGAACATCAATATCAAAGAATGAACAAAAGGGTGTCGGCATAGATTTGACAATTTGATTCGATCCAAAGACTTGATTCATTTTCGTCCCGTATGTCAAAATATTTAGCATCTAATTTGTAAGATTTTTTCTTGTGAATTTTCCTATTTAGCCAAACTCAAGGGATTCGACTTGGACCTCATCAAACAATGCCAAGAAATTCCCATGTGTGGGCATTGTCTTATTGAGAAATTGAAAGACAAGAAGAAGAAAAAAAAGCAAAGTTAGAGATTTCTGTTCACACTTTAAACAAACGGCGCCCAAAGTAAGAGGATTTGGGAAAAATATAGACGGAACCAGGACTTATAATTAGTGGGGACAAATTTTTAAATTAATTTAAAAATTTTTATTGAAATATAAATTAATTTAAAATTTTAAAATAACATTAGCACGTATAATATTTTTTGTATATGAAAAAAATATTTTTTAAAAATATAAATAATATTTGCATAATTAAATATATGATTTTTTATGAATATAACCTAAATACTATTTAGATAAACCATTTATCATAATAGATACTCACACATATATATTAATTTAATAAAATTTTACTTATAATTCTTAAAGATAGATATAATATGTGAAAGAATAAAATTAAAATTATCATCTCTAATTTTATTATTTACTTTTAATATGTTTAGTTTTATCATTTACCTTTAATAAACAAATATATTTGATTTTTTATTCATTAATATTTGAAGAATAAAAAATAATTCTTTTCTTACATATAATGAAAAAAAAAAAAAAAGAATGAAGACAATTAGTTAAAGATGATTATTTATTTTATTTTTATTACTTCATTTTTTGTATGTTATTTTTTGCTGTTAACAAGTGGTTAAACCATTTAAGTAGTGCAAGCTTCAAATCTTATTATCACTATAGCATCACTTGCCATAAAATTAAACAAATTATTATTAAGAAAATTAAAAATTTAACAATTTCAAATTCTCTAAAATTAATTTATTTTATTTTTTACAAACTTGAAAATATATATATATATTATAATGAAATTATTTAGCACTTAAAATGTCAATATTCAATTACTAGATAAATAATGAAAAATTTCAAGTGCGAGCCTTAATTTAGTGGGGGTAAATATGAACACCAAAATTTTCTGTCGGGGCAAAACTTTAAATTTTCAAAACTTTTGAAAATTCTTTACAGTAAAGCCAAAAGAATTTTATGAGTCAAGAGCATAGCCTTAGGATTATTTCCCGTAACAATAAAAAGCTGATTCCCATTCAAAAGTTGTGTTTGATTCAAAGAAAAGTGGGTATAAACAAATATATATTTAATAGGTTCAGTTCAGCCATTTGGGGCGGGGTATAAATATCATATTTTATTCACTCTTTTGGTTTTGCAATATTCTCAGAAACCTGAGTATAAAAAGTATCTTTAAGAAAAAAATCAAACAACCTTAATATTAGTTAGGTAATGCTAATATACAAAGTTATGAATCATGCAAAATTTTCAAATTTTTTTTTAAAATGTTAGTTATTAGTCAAAGGATGCAGGTGATACTTCCTTTCCAATGGCAATATTTACGCTTCTCTCTTAATGTCAAAGATCAACGACCACGATCCATGTTCTTCTTTAATTAATTGGTCTAAATTAAAATTTTTTTATCTAAAAAAAATTGTATGAAACGATTAAAAATTATACTACATAATCATGTATTATAAAAAAATTAACCATTTGGCTCACTTACATGACATAGAAATTTGGTTTGTGGTTAGATTGGACTACCATGATTAAAGGCCAAAACAAGTAATATACTAATAATATTTCACTACGAATAACCCCTTCACTATTTTTTTTCTAGGGTGAAAACGGAAAGGTTGCCATCATTCTTAATTTGTCAAACAAACAGCAAATCAACTTACTGCTATGCAAGTCCTCTTCTAATTAATGTATTAAAGAAAAAATAGAATGGGGCCTGAGAAAAGATTTCAAACCCACATGTTTCCGATGTTTTCGTGCTTGTTTTGCGTGGGAATTCTCCAATGAGTAGGTAGCCTTGTTAATTAAGAAATACTTAATTTCATGAGATCAGGTTTTGTTGGCCTTCAGTTATCAGGTGAAGATGCATGATGATAAGTCATGTTAGACATTTCAAAGTGCAATAATTAATGTGATTAGAATATAAGCTAGAAACAGAGAATACAACAAGTAATGAAGACTAAAAACAGTTGACGAGATACACTAAATGATCAATCACTTTCATTATCTTCATTTGACTAATAATTATTTGGATTATTAAGGTATTTGACAAGGATGTTTCCCTTAAGAAGATAAACCACTGTTGGGCTAATCTTAAACACATTTATGATCTATCATAGCAATTTCTAGTTTCTACCACAAGTTCCAACCCTTCATTGTATGGGAGGCTCCAACAACTTCCCAATGGGGACAGCAGCAATTCAGCTAAGCATAAATATCTGAGAAATTCACGAAAATGGTTTCAAATCAATGTTTTGCTTTTCTCTGATAGTTACACGTAAAGTTGAAATTTGGAAGTTTGGCTGGAAAGTGGTGGGTATTGGTGGTAGAGCGTCAAACTAGAAGAATGGCCAGAGTCTTTCGTAGACAAATTGGCAAGTGAAGGTGGTTCGTCTTTAACTGCAAGGACACCAAGATGCCTTAACACACATTGATTTTTAAGCGATAGGTCTGACATTTTAGACCGTCTTTAACTCACCACATGATCATTCTCTCTTGGTGAAGACAAAAGAAATTGCGTAGAAAAACTTGAGCCTTTTCTTTTGATTTTTAGCCCAAAAGCATCAGCGGATGTCTATGCACATGGGAGTATTTTTCCAGGTCCTTCGTCACAGCTGCTACTTGTTCAAGGCTTTTGACCCCCTCATCCCTTGTCAATGTAACTAATTCCCTAGCTTTTATTATCATATACTAATTTTTTATAGGGGAAAACATCTTTGACGGTTTAAAATGGGGCCAAGAAGAAAAATATATCTTTGACATTAAAAGATAAAAAAACACATATTTTAACAAAATCTTAACCTTTATTTGAATGGGTGATAAGATTAATTTTGATGAGATTAAAAATAATAATATTATTATTATAATTATGATTAAAAAATTTTAATAAAAAATTTATACTAAATAAATCTCATAAAAATAAATATTTAAATTCAACTAATACTGTGTTGATTTCAGTCACACCGTATTAATCCAAACCTAAGTTCAATCTTTTCAGTCGGTGACAATTTAGTCAAGTGGATTCTTTCAAGCATTCATAGTAGCAAATTAAAGGCCCAAGTGATGCAAAAGGCCCGAGGCTGCATAGTAATGGCTCAGGGTCAGGTCCTCAACATGATGATCAAGGTCGTAGCTCAAACAACTGGCCTCTTAAAGACCAAGATTCCAAAAGTTAAAAAACCCCCATCGTCCATTGGAACTAATGGCAATGAACAATATTCACCATGGTAACAAAAGCTGATGGATTCAATTAAAAGAGAAAAGAAAGAAAAAAACACTAAACGATGATATTGTTTTGAATATTTGTATTTTTATTAGCATTTTTTTTCTTGCACTCCACAGTGTATGATTGTATATATTCATGCCATTATTAAAGAAGATTTAATCCTCCAAAGTCGGCAAAAATCTCAACAAATTTAATCATAAAAAATCCACCCCATCTCTCGCACTAATGCATATTAATATATGCAACAAATACAAAACTTGTCGACCAAAGCGAACAAAGTATCAACAACGCATGCTTTACTGCCACGTAATCATTTCAGTTATAACTTTTTTTTTATTTAAAAGTTAAATTAATTTTATCAACGAATGCATGGAATCGGCATCATCTTGTGCCTGACTCCGTGCTATCTCATTTACATATTTATCTAGCGGCTAATGGCCATATCTTGATAAAGATCAACGGATCAGATTTAAAACAAGAAGCATCAGATTAAATACCGATTTTATCGCGTTTGCTGAGCTGGGCCCCACCGAGTCTAGGAATGTGACAGGTAGCTTTGAGGTCCCTCTATCTGTTTCTTTCGTTCGGGGGCTCCCCCCATAGATTCTCTCTTTCTGTTTCTTTTTTCGCCTCACCAAGTTTCCTTTCTCTTGTTTGTTTTCGCCTAAGCGGTCTCGATATTTTGGTGAGCATTGTTGCGATTCGATCTTTTTTTTTTCTAAATGTTTTCTCATTTGAATTTTGTTTGGAATTAGATTGTTTTATGCTAATATTTTGTTGATCGGATTATGTTGATGATTCTAAGAGGAATATAAGCTTTAATCATAAGCTTTTTTCGGTCTATTGATGTTTCTACGATGTGCGATTTAAGATTTTCATGAAATTTCCTCACCTTTTTTTCCGTTAATCAATCTTTTTTAGTTTTTACTCTTGCTCTGTTTTTTTTTTTTTTTTTTGTCTGCTGATAATATTGAATTTAAGAATTGAATGAAAATTTTCAGTGGCTTCTATTTTCCTTTAGTGTAAGATGTTTAACATGTAAATTAGAGTTCCTTTAGCTTAAGTTCTTTGCTTGACGGGAAATGAGGACTCAATTTGATTGTGCTGATAGGATTAGGATCATGCATGAAATTTGAAGGATTAAATATTTGCTGACCTCTGTCTTCTCTTATTGCGACCTATCTATAGCAGTTTACAGTTGAAAAGGAGACAATTTTTTTTTTTTTTTTTAAAATTTATTTAGGAAAGCAGAAAGAAAAATAAGAAAATATGTAAGATCTTTTCAAAATTATAACTTTTTTTTTTTAGGAATTTATATCTTCACAGGTTCAAAATTATGGGGAATGGTGTTGATATTTCATAATAGCATTCCTTCATACATGCATACATTCATATATTTCTTCTTTGTCCTTCTATCTGTTATTCTAACAATTGAGTGGTCAATGGGGGTTTATAGGTTAATATGGGAACGACTGTCAAGTTGGTTGTGCAGTCACTGTTCTTATTGTCCCTGTTGTTTTCTGTGGTATCTTCTGCATCCAATGATGGGCTGGTTAGGATCGGACTTAAAAAGATGAAATTGGATCCAAACAACTGGCTTGCTGCCCGGCTTGAGTCCGGGGATCGAGAGGCTCTCGGAGCATCCTTTAAAAAGTATCGCTTCCGTGATAATCTTGGAGAATCTGAGGAGATTGATATTGTTACACTCAATAACTACATGGATGCTCAGTACTTTGGTGAGATTGGCATTGGAACTCCACCACAAAAGTTCACTGTGATATTTGACACAGGCAGCTCAAATCTGTGGGTACCATCAACTAGGTGCTATTTCTCGGTGAGCCCCTACATTTATGTTTACTAGGAATGTATAGGAAATGAAACTCTTTGCCTTGATAATTTGGAAAGCAAAAGTGGTTCAAGGCACATGATTTTTGTTTTTACATTGAGGTGTAGGTTGCATGTTACTTCCATTCCAAGTACAAGGCAAGCGATTCAAGTACATATAAGAAAGATGGTATATCTTCAACTCTTTTTATTGCACAGATAATTGTTTCAGAAACTTGTTTATTCCTGATGTTAAGGGCAAAAAAACAATTTTTAAGTTCTTGATTTTATTCATTTGAATAGTAATATGTGAAATTTTGATTTTTAAAAAATAACCATGGCTATCTCTGATATTCTTCAATTAAGTACCAATTGGTCAATCATAATTGTCTGTGCAGTGTATGGTTATTTGTTTTCTTGGTCCTTGTTGCGGTAGTATGTACTTAGGTAGGAAGATGGTTTTTTGCAACATATAACATTATGCATTCTTTTCTGGCTTATTATTAATGAAATTATAAGGCACGAAGTTCTTTATTTAACTGTTTTCTTAAAGGCTCAATTGGTATATTGCATTATGGTGTCTATTTATCCCACGGATGCTAAAATTATCTAGAAGTTGCATTATCATATCTGATGTAGGGAAATCTGCTTCTATTCACTATGGCACTGGAGCTATTTCTGGTTTCTTTAGTTATGACCATGTTCAAGTTGGTGACTTGGTTGTGAAAGATCAGGCAAGTGGAGCTAATCTTCTTCGCAGTCATTTGCATATGATCTAGTAGTTTGAAACTTTTTAGGTAACCTTGTAACCTATTTTCATCATCAGGAATTTATCGAGGCTACGAAGGAGCCAGGTGTTACATTTTTGGCGGCCAAATTTGATGGGATATTAGGACTTGGTTTTCAGGAGATTTCAGTTGGGAATTCTGTCCCAGTGTGGTATGTTTGTGTTTTAATTCTTATTGTCTATTTAAGATGTTTTTTGATATTTCGAGCTTCTCATGGACCACTTTTTGATGTTACAGGTACAACATGATCAAACAAGGTCTTATCAAGGAACCAGTATTTTCATTTTGGCTTAACCACAATGTAGAGGAAGAAGTGGGTGGTGAAATTGTGTTTGGTGGGGTTGATCCAAGCCACTACAAGGGCAAGCACACATACGTTCCTGTAACACAAAAAGGCTATTGGCAGGTTGACCTTTCAACTTATTTTATTATGTGCTGGATAAATGGTTTATATCTATAGTTTAATCTTTCTCATTTTTCTTAATTATCTTTTCTTTTTTGATAGTTTGACATGGGTGATGTTCTTATCGGTGACAAACCAACTGGTATGGTTCTTTCAATGCCTAGTGTACTTTAAAAGTGGGATTAAGCTCTTTAATTACTTTTGCTCAAGCAAAATCCTGTTCTTGGCATAGATCTTTGTGGTTCTGACCTGGGCATATGCTATTCAGGATATTGTGCTGCTGGTTGTGCGGCAATTGCAGATTCTGGAACTTCTCTGCTGGCAGGTCCAACGGTAATCTGTAATGCTTAATTGTTGGGTATTTTGATCAGTTATCTAACAGATTTAGCTAGTTCATTTTTAATCATTTTGACCTGGGCTTTGATTGTTAGCAAAATTTGAACATTATTCTAGCTATGCAGTAATGGTGTCTAAAGATATATGTTAAGACATGCTCTAGTATTGCTCTTAAAGAGTGCTTTCATATTTCTGATTAAATCCATGCTGGTTTGTGTTACTTGTTAACCTTGTTATTGATGTGGTTCCCTATTGTTTGTTTGTTTGTCTTGTTGCAGACTGTGATTACCATGATAAACCATGCAATTGGAGCCTCTGGAGTGGTTAGCCAGGAGTGCAAGGCAGTGGTTCAACAATATGGGCAAACCATCATCGATTTACTTTTAGCTGAGGTGATTCTAGTTGTACTCTAAATGTAAATGTTTGTATAAGGTTGCAATTAATTTGTATTCATTTTTTGTAATCTTCACCTGTATGATTGGTTGTAAGTTTCTGTATCTACTTTGCTCCACGTAGTGACTGGTTTCTTCCCTATTGCTTCCAACAGGCACAACCCAAGAAGATCTGCTCTCAAATTGGATTATGCACTTTTAATGGTGCTCGTGGTGTTAGGTCAGGCTCTGAGGTCTATATGTGTGTGTGTGTGTGTGTATGTTTTAATTTAATTGCTGTCTAGTTATTTTAACTAGTTTATCTGAAGCTAGAATGATTTTGTATTAAAGCGGTAAAGTAATGGTGCTCAAATGTGTATGTACAGCATGGGCATCGAGAGTGTGGTGGATGAGAACAATGGCAAATCATCTGGAATTCTTCATGATGCTATGTGCCCCGCTTGTGAGATGGCAGTTGTGTGGATGCAGAACCAACTAAAGCAGAATCAGACTGCAGACCACATATTGAACTATGTCAATGAGGTGACACGTGATAGACTTGATATACTTGTTGAATAATTTGTGAGTACGTTTGTTCCATTGCTGATTCTTCCATTTGATACTCTTGCAGCTTTGTGATCGGATGCCAAGTCCAATGGGAGAATCTGCTGTTGACTGTAGAAGTCTTTCTTCCATGCCTACTGTTTCCTTCACTATTGGTGGCAAAGTTTTTGACCTTGATCCAGAAGAGGTACACCATCCTTAATTTCTGTTAGTAGTCTGTTAACATTTGTATCTTGAAGTTCAGATTCACACAAGTTCTCAATGTGACAGGCTCAGGTTGGAATATTATTCTTTAGTTTTCATTGTCTGGAATGACAGTCGCATCTGATTAATATTATTTAGTTTTCATTTGTATGTAAATATAAATGTTTGGAAAGTTTTCCTACTGATAACGAGTTGTGCTGATGTTAATGTTCCTACGTGGTGTAATCAGTATATTCTCAAAGTGGGTGAAGGTCCTCAAGCTCAGTGCATCAGTGGCTTTACTGCCATGGATATTCCTCCTCCTCGTGGGCCTCTATGGTATTTTAGCTGCATTATATTTTGATCTTAACCAATTCCTTAAACCATCTCAAGTCATATTTTTCTGGTTCTCTCGTAACACTTGTTTGATGCAGGATTTTGGGAGATGTCTTCATGGGTAGGTACCACACCGTCTTTGATTTTGGTAAACAAAGAGTTGGCTTTGCAGAGGCAGCATAAAAGATCTACCATCACCATTGGGGACCTGAGTTTTTAGCCATCAACTACTATGTTATGTATAACTTAATAAATATGGTGGAAGTATAAAACCACTGGTCTCGGCCTAAAACTTAAAATCATGCTGTGTTGCCTGTAAATGTTTCCGTCCTTGCTCTGTTTTATCAACCCAAGTTAGAAAGTAGGATTTACATAAGTCTAAGCTGTGAAACCAAGTGAGAAATATTGTGTTTGTTTTATCAATGGTGGCGGATACTTAATCACTTCCATATCCATCTCTTCTTGATTATTGAGCTTTATATTACTTTAGGAAAAGAAACTTGTTATTGTTATACCAGCCAGAGTTCATAGTCCTTAGAAACTTCGATTTTAGATCTAGTCCTGAGGTTCGAGTTAATCCCATAACAAAAGCAAAAAACTTTGCTGACGGTTAAATCCATCTCAAAGTCAAAGGTATGCAAATGAGTAAGAACCAACATTCTGCCATGTGAGGTCTGATGTAAGATCAATTCACTACGCAAAAGGCTATCGGCATGTGAAATGAATTCATGCCTCTGATGATCACCATCGGAAAACCAAATTAAACAAGTTTAAGTGGTTTTTCCCTTAGGATATCCAACGTATTTTTATATGAAAATGACGTACAATTTTCCCAAAGTCAGAAGCCTTAAAATACTATTGCCTATACATAGTGCTGATGCAATTTGTGATTTATAAAATTGGCAGCAAAAAAGATACTACTTGCGTTCGTTGTTATAGTTTTATACGGAGTGGTTAATCTTTTATCGATGTTTGCTCTATTCATGCGCATGCCCTCCTGTCAGCCTCACTCCTACGGTGGATGCTACTACCAAAACAGTTTTTTGGTTAGCAGGTCCATTTTTCCGGATCATAAAGCTACTACCCCCAACTACCTCAGCTCCTTGATTTAATGGTTAAAATGCTCTTAAAAGACGTAAAAATCTTAATTCCAAACCAAAATCTCCTGCCACCTTCCCTTGTCATGATTCCATGCGCATCTTATGCTTAAAAAAAAAAAATTATTACCTTGTAGTGTTTTACAATATGCCAAGTCCATAGAGAAGCTAATTTCTCTAACCTTTCGTTTCTTTATATCTTTTCTGTCCAAAATTAAAATGATACGCATGAATTACAACTAATCTGCAATAAAAAAATCCATTACAAAACTCCAGAATAACTATATTAAAAATATGATAATTAAACTGAAAAACATTTTGCAACAGGTGCTCAGTTCCTTAGGTGTTTTTCTTACTATCTGAACGTGACAATCTCTGGTCCAAAGATTGCAACTGATTCCGAAGGTTTTGGTTCTCCTCAAGCAACCGATCATACTCAAGAAGAAAACCTTCAGATTGTTTCTTTAAAGCAACTGCTTTGGCTTCCGCAGCAGTCATCTCTTTTGTCTTTGTCTCAAGATTAGACTCCAGCTGCTTAATTTTTCCCAGCAGAGTGGTTACTCTTTCCTCCAAGGCCTTGACTTCGTCCGAGCCACCAGGTTTTCCATCCTCAAAACCTCGACCTTGTTTCTTGACAGCCTCCATGTTCTTCCTTCTTATCCGGAGTTCTCTAATATAATGGTGCAATCTGTCTATCATTAGTGCTAGGAAAAGTGAACCCCCTGCAATAAGTTACCAAGAGGAAGTGACAGACAGCCCCATGAAATTCAAGCCGAATTAGAAGCCAATGCTAAAAATCATAATCACAACTTATAGAAATTAATAATAAGAAGTTCAGAACCACAAAAATCAAGAGAGAAAATGAAATTTTGCCCTGCTGAGGAAGAAAATACAGTGTCATAAACAAGTCCAATATGTTCATATCAAGGCAAAGAACACCATCTTTGAAGATAAACAATGGAAGATTCATGGTTATGAATGTGTTGCATTGGTGGTTGGTACACACAAACAGCAATTGAATAAAAATTAAAAGGGTACTGACTATATTAGTACCTTAGCTAAATCCCGCCTAATTGTATATTTCAATCTCAGTCAGTTGGGCAAAAAGAAGAAACAAAAAACAAGAAGCAACTGAACAAAAAATCACTTTTTTTTTCCCTTTAGCTTTAAGATGCCAATTAGACAAACAATTGGGCAACAAAACAACAAGCATTCTAAAAACCAAAATCAGACAACAAATAATAATAATAATAATAATAATTTCGACATAAATTTAGAGTTTTATATGGTAAGCAGGAATTTAAAATGCAATCATGACCACGTTTTTCGGTCACCATGCGTTTATAGTGATTGTGGACATAATGGATAAGATATCAATAGATGCATTCATTGCAGTCGTGATTTTTTTTTTTTTTTTAATTTTCATAATTTACCATAGAATAGTTTGATATAATAACATTTATTTACTATATTTAAAGTAATTTATAACATTTTAATTTTATATTTACAGGATAAAATAATTTTTTCACATATTTTAGTTATAACTCAGAATCAATTTACTATAAAACTCATAGATATATTAAAGAAAAACACAAATCCGCAATTTGTGTGAATCACGATTCACACCTCCATTACAGTGAATAACGGTGCGGAGCGCTACGTTACCGCTAAATAGCAGACGCTATCTAAATCCATATAATTTTTATTTATTGGTAAGATAGAACAAATTAAGATCTCGACAAAAGTGAAAAACCAGGCAATTAGCAATCAACGGGTAGACTTAGAAGGATTGAAAAAAGAACTAATTACCCATGAGAGTAGCCTCAAGAAGGTTTTTGGCCATGAGAACCTGGTCCGTTGGATTAGCCACTTCATCATCGATCCAACGCTTCTGGATCTTCATCATGCTGTATACGCTCGACATCATAACCACGGATACGGTTCCTGCCACGGTCTTCACGATCACCGGGCCTCGTCCACGCTTGACCCGATCCAAAACCATTATCACCAGCTTCCTTAACGGTGTCTTGAATGTTAATACCATGATCACCGCCATCTCTGAGAATATCACCATGAACAACAACTGAATCATCTTTAAAAGCTTTTTTTTGACAAACCCAAAAAAGGGTTGATTTGTTTCTCCTTATTGGAGGGTGGAAGTTAAGATTGTGAATCTGCAATGTACGGAACCAGTGTGGAATTGGGAGCTAAAGAAGAAACAGAAGGAGAAGAAGAAAGGGGAAGGACTGCAATCCTCGTTATCAACGTCAATTTTGATCTGTAGAGTTTTTAGGTTATTTTCTAAAATGCCCCTTAACTTTTAGTTTATTTGATTTCTCTCTTTCTTTTTTCTTTTTTGGAAATTGGGGACCTTTTACTTTTATTTTATTACATGAAAAGCTGAAAGTGAGCTTTTAGCTTTTTCTTTTTTCTGTTTTTTTTTTTTAATAATTAATTAAATAAAAAATAAAAGTAAGTGAAAAAGGGTACAAACAATTTTTGAAGTAAAAGCATTGTGATGTATCCTCAACCTTAAACTCTAATTATGAGCTTAATTAAGAAGTTAAACAAAAATTAGTAAAGGTTTTTATAATTCCCAAAAAATTCCTTGGTCTTCAAACTTCCAAGCCTAGAAACTCCATTGTTGAGTAGATATTAATACTACTACTTCTTAAAAGAAAATTTAATGGTTATCTTCATTTAATTAATATTAAACTGTTATATAATTAATTAAAAATACAGAGCAAAGAAGGTGATGATATCAAAAGGATTAGGCAGATTCAGTGATCAGCCATAATTTTTGTGTGCATGAGATCCAGTGATTGAAGGCAATAAAAAATGATAATGGTCAATCAATATTTTCTTGCCTTTACAGTTGTTAACATTACGAAGTGAAATAAAGAAATTTACCCAACCCTTGCCCCATAAAATTAAAACAACAAAAAATTAAAGGAAAAAAAAAAAAGAAAAAGAGAGCATTTGATTACTATACACAATCATAATGGTCAACTTAAAGCGTCCTAGTATAATTATTTAATTTATTTTAGTACCTCCATGGAAGTTCATATCTATATGGAGTCCATGCTCGTTTATGGCCAATATAAATATGCCCACCAGCTCCCTTTCCTATAATTCTTTTTCCACCATGCAATCTCATGGTGTAATAAAACTCCATTTTTTATATCTTTGCCTTTTCCATGTGAAAAGCAAATTAAGCTTCATGTTCACCATGTGATCAATCTGATCATCATATCATACATTCAAAACGCAGGCAAAAAGGCGAGTCGTTGTAACTTGTTGTATGGCTTCATCATCTAACCACAAGTTTTATATCAAGTTTTGAGGGTAGTTAATTATTCACCGACTATAAGAGTCCCTAACTTGGATCAAATAAGCATTTAAGCAGAGTATTGTTAAAATTAAGCTTCGCCTGATTACGAAAAAGTGGATGAATAGTGAAGCTCTACAAATTGGGATTTGTATATGGACATAACTTTGTCATGTTAGAATATGTACAAAAACATATATGAAACTAATAATTTGTAAGCATTATATAGCAAATTCTTCAGTTGTAGATGATGCTGCCAGAGCCAGATGCCTTGAGCTCTGATTGGCTCCTTCCTAGCTGCAAAGCTACCTTCATTTCAAGAAATTCTCCATTTTCTCTTCTTTAAACATCTTTCTCATCGGTTGTTGACATTATGCTCTCTTCAATGAGCTTAAAGAAGCCGGCATTTCTCCGATACATCTCCAACACCATTCCTCCTTGCCCGCCATGTTCCTTTGAGTTCACAACAGTTGCCATTGCACCCGCTATGACTCCCGTCATCACAGGCCATGAACAATGAGTAGTGCCCACAAAGGAAGACCTCAAAGCCCCTAAAACGGTTAATAAGAGACCAGATATTGCCCAGATTTTGTTAAGTTTTAGTGTTTTGCTACCCAACCTTAAGTACTCAGCAATAATCTTTCTTCTCCAAAACTTTAAGAACTTGTCTCACTTCCTCCTCCAACTTTCTATTCCAGCCATTATTTCCCTCTATTTTCCTAGCAAGCCCTTGTTTTCGCTTTTATTGCGGCCACCACCTTGCAGCTTCTACTTTTCAAGGGAATTTTTCAGTCACAGCACCTAGTAGAGCAAGTGGATGTGCCTTATCAGAAGCTAAAACTTTGTCCATTGCTCCATTGATATCATTGATATCAGGTTTGCCAAGAGATAAGGTTGTTTGAATTTGACCATGAATCTGCTTGAATAGTCTTGCAACATTCCTTTGTTCTTCAGCAAGTTGGGATGGTTGAATCTTGTTCATCATCACCACCAAGCCCATGGTTGCAGTGTAAAGCACAGTAGAAGAGAGCTTGAGTGTCTTCCACTTGTGGATGCTACTCCTGCCATGATGGCAATAGTGAGATCATGCATTAATGGAAGTCAAAAGAGGTGATTCCAGTTGTCACGCTGCTCTCCAATATTCTTATGCATCTCCACCCTATCTGCAACAGCCAAAGCTTGGCAATCACCTTAGGATCACAAGATTTTGTGTTATGTCTCGAATAATTCTGGGTTTTCTGCCTAGAAATGGAGTCGTTTTCCAGGATGGTACCTCAACAAACCTCTAGTAGAGAGCTCTAGGAGAGAGACAGAACCCATTAGAACCATTGGTGCATAATTGTCTCACCAATTATTCCACAACGATAATGCAACGAAGGCACACTCTTTGAAAATAACAGGTCTGCCATGGCTGCTGTATTTGGCTTCGCAATCTGAATGGTTTACGCTGAAAGGCTAAAGTAAAGTGGCTTTGAATAGAATGAATTGTATTTATATTTCATACTAGCTAGGTTGTATTTCATTGCGAAAAACAAAGGGTAGTTAGAAAAAGTATAATCGTTGAAACTAGAACGTTTGAACAATATCTCCTTGGATTAGAAATTAGACCACTTCTCATCCCAAACTGCTGCTAGGTCTAGGTGTCATGAGCTTCGGTCTTAAGTCAAAATCCGTGCGGCCTTAGACTTGGAATGAATTCATATTTCTAAGTCAGCCTACGAAACAAGTGTGCAGACACTAAACCAACACTGAAAGGTAGAATATGCAAGTTAAAAAAACAAGGGAATGCTATAATGTACTGTATATTACTGAGTAGTGAATGTATACAAATAAGGGAAGGGTGGCCCTCTATTTATAGTTGAGGCCCAGCTATGATAGTTCCTAATATCAAGGATTACAATTTCAAATTTAAATTCAAATACAAATTACACAGATTACATCTTGATTCTAAAATTAACCCGGTCCCCTTTTGTGTATTGTAGATCCTAAAGGCTTTTAGATGGTTCTGGTTTGGCCTCTCCCCTGGCCCCCTGAAGCAGTGCAGGCATGTTGTGGGCCTAGTCCCAATGCTGTGAGTGGTCTGAACGCTTCTACCAAAACTATTGCTTGAACCCTTGCCTCTATGTCTAGTGCTCGAGCCTTAGCCGTTGGTGCACGGGCCTCAGTTCTTGGTGTCCCCGCCCAAGGTGTGACATTCTCCCCCACTTGATCTCACGACGCCCTTGTCACGTCCTTTGTGTGGAATTGCCTAATCTGGTCCTAGAACTATTATAAGTCTTCCGTTGGTTCCTAACTAGCTTCATTGTTTGGAAGCCCCTTCCATCGCACCAAGTACTCTTGTCTTGGTTTAAAACTCTACCGTTTCACACCCAATTAGCAAGAATGCATTGGACTTTCTTCTTATATGAGGCATTCACTTCCAATGGTGCATGCCTTGACTTTACCCACCCTAGATCCCCTAGTCTTCATAGAATGGCTTGAGCATGATAACATGAAAATTTTAGTGTATCTTCGACTTTGGTGGCATATCCAGCTTGTAGGCAACCTTGCCTACCCTCTTAAAAACTTTAAAAGGTCATTCGTACCTTCGAACTAGGCCCTTATGTAGACCTTTGTTGCGCATGATGAGGTATAGCTTCACCAAGACCAAGTCCCCCATTTAGAACTACACATCCCTCATTCTCTAGTTTGCCAACTTCTTGGATTTTTTTGCTGCTTTGTGTAAGCAGACTCTAGCTAGGTCGACTTGCTTTTGCCAAGTCTTAGCAAACTTATATGTTGTTAGGTTAGGTCTTATGTAACCTACTACAATCGAACCTAGTCTTAACGACTGCTGCCTTGTCATGATCTCAAAAGGGTTCTGGTTCATTGCTTCAGTTCCCTACATATTGTATGAGAATTGGACGACATCAAATAACTTGGGCTAATCTTATTGTGTGACGCTAACTAGTGCCTGAGGTAGACTTCAATAGTCCATTTATTCGTTCGGTTTGCCTATCAATTCGGGGATGCATACTGGTGAAAAAGTTTAAGTCTGACCCCAATAGCTTGAATAACTCAGTCTAGAACTGCCTTATGAATTACCTATCCCGATCACTAACAATGGTCTATGGTACTCCCTAGTACTTCACCATGTTTCTCAAGAATAAATGAGTTGCCTTCTCGACTGGGCACTTCTTGGTTGCTGGAATAAAAGTCTCATGCTTGAAAAATCCATCCACCACTACCATAATGCTCCCAAACCTATCTACCTTAGGTAGACTGACTATGAAATCTAGAGTGATACTCTCTTATGGTCACTTTGGTATAGGCAAAGGCTCTAAGAGATCGGTTGATGGCTTAAGCTCTACTTTATCTTATTGGTACATAAGACAGGCTTTCACATAGGTCTCAATATCATCTTTCATATGCAGCCAGTAGTATTAATCCTCTAACAAGGTTAAGGTACAGTGCACGTTTGGGTGATTAACCCACTTTGAATCATGGCACTATTGCATAACCTCCCTACGGAGCTTTTTGTGCTACGACACAAACAACTTGCTACCTTTGGTGTACAAAAGATCATCTTACAACTAAAACCATCTAGTATTACCTTGCTTTGGTATAATCGATGAGAGTCTTAGCTATAGGATCGTGGGATAACCGTTCTCTAATGCACGGCACCAAGAACCCTTTTGGTTGGCTGATGGCAGCAAGGTTTGCCTTTCGGCTGAATGCGTCAGCCACTATGTTTGCATGCCCAGGCTTGTATTTCAACCTATAATCAAATTTCGTAAGAAAGTCTTACTAGTAGGCCTGCCTGCTTCGGGGATAACTTTTTTTATATCTGAAAGTAACTAGTTGCAATGTTATCAATTTTAACCACAAACTTCAACCTCAACAGGTAGTGTCGTTAAGTGCGTAATCAATACACTATTACTATCATCTCTTTCTCTTAAACCGTGTATATGTGCTATATCTCATTGAGCTTCCTGCTTTCAAATGTAACCAGATGGTTTTTCTGCATCAACAAAAGTTTGATGCATCCGTATGCAC